AAATACACACGGAGCTGGTCTATTGCGCTGCTCAAGCCATGAGACCGGAAGCGGAAGTCCATTTCTGTGTTTTTTTTTGACATGTGTTTCACTAACAAACCACCAGTGGACTCTGCAACTGTACGAAGAAGACACATAAATGAAAATACGGGTGAACTATTTATGGGAATGATAAACTTTGAGAATGCATCGTATTCTACTGTAGATGAACTGTTTAACTCTGTCACCTCTAGTGTTTTGAAAGTTCTGGACACCATCGCTCCTGTGAAGGTTAAAATAGTGAAAAATAAGCAGAAGGCGCCGTGGGCTAAAGCAGACTCGGTCAGGGCACAAAAGAGAGAGTGCCGGAGGGCCGAGCTTCAAAGATAAGTTGTGTGAGTTTAACCGGGTGCTACGTAGTACGAGAGAAAGGTATTTTTCTGAAATGATTGAAGGCTGCAGCAACAATCTGCGTGTTCTGTTCTCAACAGTTAATAGATTAACAAACCCCCCTGTTCAGATGCCATTAGAGCTAACTTCCAAACGTAAATGTAATGAGTTTGCACATTTTTTCAATGACAAGGTTCAAGGCATCAAAAACGCCATTGTCTCCAATCCACAGATAACCATCCAACAGCCAGAAAGGCTCTTTGAGCTAACTTACTTTGCACCTGTAAATGATCAAACTGTCCAAGAGATAATCTCCAGTCTGAGCTCCTCCACATGCAGCTTGGATGTACTACCCACTAGATTTCTGAAGTCTGTTCTGAGCAGTCTGTTACCTTCACTCACACAGATAGTAAACATGTCCCTTCATTCTGGAATATTCCCAAAGGCCCTGAAAACTGCAGTCATCAGGCCCCTGCTAAAAAAGAGCAGTCTGGATGCTACGGTACTTAACAACTATCGTCCCATCTCAAATCTGCCATTTATGGGGAAAGTCCTTGAAAAAGTTGTCTACCTACAGCTTACTAGATTTCTTATAATTAACAACTCATTTGATATGTTTCAGTCCGGCTTTAGACCCCACCACAGCACTGAGACTGCTCTCGTTAAGGTTACAAACGATATCCGGCTGAACACTGACGCAGGCAAAGTCTCAATCTTAATCTTGTTAGATCTGAGTGCTGCCTTTGACACCGTCGACCATGAGATCCTCTTACAGAGACTAGAGGACTGGGTTGGAGTCGCTGGCACCGCCCTAAGTTGGTTTAGGTCTTACCTTGAAGACAGGAAGTACTTTGTGGAGATTGGAAACTGTGTCTCAGATCATATGGCCCTGACCTGTGGAGTACCACAGGGGTCGATCCTGGGACCTCTTCTGTTCAATCTCTACATGCTGCCGTTAGGTCAGTTAATACGCAGAAACAAAGTTTCCTATCATAACTATGCAGACGACACTCAGATCTATGTCTCACTGACTGCAGGAGAACATGGACCAGTGGACTCACTCCTTCACTGTATCCAACAGATCAGTGAGTGGATGCAAAACAACTTCCTTCAGCTAAACGCAGACAAAACTGAAATGATTGTCTTTGGTCCCCAGAAACAAAGAGAGAGCGTCATCTGTCACCTACAGTCTCTCTCCCTAAAACCTTCAAACAAGGTCAGAAATCTAGGGGTAATACTGGACTCAGACTTAAATTTTAATAGCCACATCAAATTCAGTAACATCAGCAGCTTTTTACCATCTAAAAAACATTGCCAGGATCAAAAACATAGTGTCTAAAGCAGACCTGGAGATTCTTATCCATGCATTTGTCTCCAGTAGGTTAGACTACTGCAATGGCCTGCTCACAGGTCTGTCCAAACAGGCTGTAAAACAGCTGCAGTACATTCAAAATGCAGCAGCTCCAGTCCTGACAAGAACCAGGAAGTACGACCACATTAGTCCTGACTAGAACCAGGAAGTACGACCACATTAGTCCTGACTAGAACCAGGAAGTACGACCACATTAGTCCTGACTAGAACCAGGAAGTACGACCACATTAGTCCTGACTAGAACCAGGAAGTACGACCACATTAGTCCTGACTAGAACCAGGAAGTACGACCACATTAGTCCTGACTAGAACCAGGAAGTACGACCATATTAGTCCGGTCCTCAGGTCTCTGCACTGGCTTCCTGTGGCTCAGAGAATAGACTTTAAAACAGCTCTGCTTGTGTACAAGTCTCTCCATGGCCTCGCACCAAAATATATTAGTGACATGTTAGTCCCATATGAACCAGCCCGGACTCTGAGGAGCACAGGGACTGGACTCCTGTTAGTGCCCAGAGTCAGAACTAAACATGGGGAGGCTGCTTTTCAGATTCATGCTGCTAAAATCTGGAACATTCTTCCTGAGGATGTGAGACAGGCCTCCTCTCTGACAATGTTTAAAACCAAGTTAAAAACTGTGCTGTTTAGCTGTGCATACAACTGAGGGATTTTATATTTTTATCTTTCTTTTTAATGTTCTGTGATTATTTATGATTTTAATGCTATCTTGTTCAGCACTTTGAGTTGCCTTGTGTATGAATTGTGCTATACAAATAAACTTGCCTTGCCTTGCCTTGCCTAAAGTGAATTACAATACAGAGCATTCAGCACATAGCCACATATGATTTACCAAAATGATAACTTAAGTTACATTCCAATATCAGTATAGCACAGTCAAAACAAAAGGAAACTCAAAGCACTGAACAAAAGATAGAAACAATCAAACAAGGCATTACAATTATAAATATTGACAGTAAATTAAAAAGATACAAATAAAATCTCTCACAAAATCTCAGTTGAAGCAGAAACAGAAGTGTTTTAAACCTGGATTTTAACATTGTCAAAGAAGAAGCCTGTCTCACATTTCCAGGAAGACCGTTCCAGATTTTAGCCTTGTGAATCTGAAATGCAGCTATATCATGTTTAGTTCTGACTCTGGGCAATAAACGATAAACACAGCATTCAAAAATCATTAGAACAACTGTAGTAGAAGGATATCAGTCATTATTGCAAATGGAGCTGCATTAAAAATCATGTTTCTCTACATCAAAGTACAAGTTAAAGCACACAGGGCACAGTGTTATGAACACTACTGTACTGAACACTACTGTACTGAACACTACTGTACTGAACACTACTGTCCTGAACACTACTGTACTGAACACTACTGTACTGAACACTACTGTACTGAACACTACTGTCCTGAACACTACTGTACTGAACACTACTGTACTGAACACTACTGTACTGAACACTACTGTCCTGAACACTACTGTCCTGAACACTACTGTACTGAACACTACTGTACTGAACACTACTGTACTGAACACTACTGTCCTGAACACTACTGTACTGAACACTACTGTACTGAACACTACTGTACTGAACACTACTGTCCTGAACACTACTGTCCTGAACACTACTGTACTGAACACTACTGTACTGAACACTACTGTACTGAACACTACTGTCCTGAACACTACTGTCCTGAACACTACTGTCCTGAACACTACTGTCCTGAACACTACTGTACTGAACACTACTGTCCTGAACACTACTGTACTGAACACTACTGTACTGAACACTACTGTCCTGAACACTACTGTACTGAACACTACTGTACTGAACACTACTGTACTGAACACTACTGTACTGAACACTACTGTACTGAACACTACTGTACTGAACACTACTGTACTGAACACTACTGTACTGAACACTACTGTCCTGAACACTACTGTCCTGAACACTACTGTCCTGAACACTACTGTACTGAACACTACTGTACTGAACACTACTGTACTGAACACTACTGTACTGAACACTACTGTACTGAACACTACTGTACTGAACACTACTGTACTGAACAGTTCATGCCAAAGTAAAAAAACATGATTGTAGCGCCTATGTTTGGATCAGTATTAAAACAGGCACAAGCTACACTCTAGGTTCCCCAGATGTAAAAACACAATCTGAAAGGCAGAAGAATGCATTTATTGAATGTTGAGGTTCCAACATGTGTCCTCTCTTGGTCTTCAGTCTCTCATCACAAGGTCCAAGCACAGCACCTGAAAATGTGGAACATGTTTAGTTTAACATAATGTGGCAAAGTGATATAACAACACATAACTTTCTATTAATGCCTCAAACCACTCGATCCATCACCATGTGATACAAACCTTGGCACTGCACTAGCTCGAGACACTGGAAGACACTCCGTCTGAGAAACTTGGGATAAGGCTTTGGTCATTGGAGTAATTCCATGTAAAAAACAATTGCAAATGTGCATTTGTTTTGCACATGGACAAATGACCCTGAAAGCTACTTACCCTGTATTACTCTACACATGTTGCATTTCCGAGGGGGCATTTTCCCCTTGTTGCTCTTTTCCCTCATCTTGAGTGAGTTGCTGAACAATCTGAGAAAAAGATAGATGTTTTCAAAGAGAATACACCAAATAATGGTTTATTCTAAAAACAACATAATAATACAGAAGAACAATCAATGTGTGAGAGTCTTACCTTTGAACACCTTCAACACAGTCTGACACCTTCAACACAGTCTGACACCTCACAGTCTGACTCCTTCAACACAGTCTGACACCTTCAACACAGTCTGACACCTTCAACACAGTCTGACACCTTCAACACAGTCTGACACCTTCAACACAGTCTGACTCCTTCAACACAGTCTGACACCTTCAACACAGTCTGACACCTTCAACACAGTCTGACACCTTCAACACAGTCTGACACATTCAACACAGTCTGACACCTTCAACACAGTCTGACACCTTCAACACAGTCTGACTCCTTCAACACAGTCTGACACCTTCAACACAGTCTGACACCTTCAACACAGTCTGACACCTTCAACACAGTCTGACACCTTCAACACAGTCTGACACCTTCCACACAGTCTGACACCCTCCACACAGTCTGACACCTTCCACACAGTCTGACACCTTCAACACAGTCTAACACCTTCAACACAGTCTGACACCTTCAACACAGTCTGACACCTCAGTCTGACACCTCACAGTATGACACCTTCAACACAGTCTGACACCTTCAACACAGTCTGACTCCTTCAACACAGTCTGACTCCTTCAACACAGTCTGACTCCTTCAGCACAGTCTGACTCCTTCAGCACAGTCTGACACCTTCAACACAGTCTGACACCTTCAACACAGTCTGACACCTTCAACACAGTCTGACACCTTCAACACAGTCTGACACCTTCCACACAGTCTGACACCTTCAACACAGTCTGACACCTTCAACACAGTCTGACACCTTCCACACAGTCTGACACCTTCCACACAGTCTGACACCTTCCACACAGTCTGACACCTTCAACACAGTCTAACACCTTCAACACAGTCTGACACCTTCAACACAGTCTGACACCTCACAGTCTGACACCTTCAACACAGTCTGACACCTCAGTCTGACACCTCACAGTCTGACACCTTCAACACAGTCTGACACCTTCCACACAGTCTGACACCTTCAACACAGTCTGACACCTTCAACACAGTCTGACACCTTCAACACAGTCTGACTCCTTCAACACAGTCTGACTCCTTCAGCACAGTCTGACTCCTTCAGCACAGTCTGACACCTTCGACACAGTCTGACAGCTTCAACACAGTCTGACAGCTTCAACACAGTCTGACACCTTCGACACAGTCTGACACCTTCGACACAGTCTGACACCTTCGACACAGTCTGACACCTTCAGCACAGTCTGACACCTTCAGCACAGTCTGACACCTTCAACACAGTCTGACACCTTCAACACAGTCTGACACCTTCAACACAGTCTGACACCTTCAACACAGTCTGACACCTTCAACACAGTCTGACTCCTTCAACACAGTCTGACACCTTCAACACAGTCTGACACCTTCAACACAGTCTGACACCTTCAACACAGTCTGACACCTTCAACACAGTCTGACACCTTCAACACAGTCTGACTCCTTCAACACAGTCTGACACCTTCAACACAGTCTGACACCTTCAACACAGTCTGACACCTTCAACACAGTCTGACACCTGTAAGACTCAAACACACATGACACATTAGGAATACACATAGAACATTAGTTATTGCAACAATCATGAAATTATACTCTATGGATTTCACAATAATTGACTGCATTAGCAAAGGTAAATGTATTTTAATTAACATATGGCTGGTTTTAAAGTTTATAAGAAAAAGTAAGAAATTGAATAGAGTTGCAAGCGCTAGTTAGCTTGCTACCAGCAGATGATTGGATATTAAATATTTGCAGCTAACAATAACAAAAATAACAACTGTAGTGGCTCATTTAAACAGCCACAGTGAGAAGAAGTGAAAGTCTGTGACATTGAAGACCTGGGAAGACATTAAATCCATTTATTAAACAAAGCAATACATGAACATTAAACTCTCTTTCTGCAGCAGGTAACATCTGTGTGCTCCTATGGTCCCCCATGGTCCCACATGGTCCCACACCTGAACTCAACTCCAACTGATGACATCACAGGTGTCTAAATGATGGGAGTGTCCCAAATATTAAAGCTGATCTCCCTGTTTTTAAACTTAGTTTACTAAGTACTGTTGTCTTTTTGCAGTTTATAAACCATTGTGAAATATACAGTAACTTTACATTTTAGAATTGAATTATTATTTTAAAACTCAAGAATCTTAACCTTTTTTAACACATGGTTTGTTGGACAGTCTAACCTAAGAATTCTAATGTGTTAAAAATAGTTTGAAATATGAAAAACAATATCATATTTTAAACTTTAACTTAAAAACTAAAAAAAGGTGTCTCCCTTTCAGCTGAGCAGTGCCAGCCGTTATTATTATAGATTCATGCACTGGCAATTCAAAATACAGATAATATACAAAATATACTTAACAAAATCCACGCATACGTGAGAAAACAACTTACTTTCTGTCTCCAACTCTTTTCAATGTGGAAATGATACATTTCTGTGTACTTACTAGAGAGGGTGATTGTAAATAAAGCAGGGCAGCGACAAATTCAACGTCATATCAACGTCTGGGAAGACATTGCTTTACCTCCAGACCTTACGTCGTTTAGACGTGGAAAACAGGTCCTCGAGCGACTCACGTGTCAGGCTGTAACCTCGCTTAAGTGTGCGTCGGTTGTTTAGGGTGTTATCTATTATTTTTTTCCCAGTAACCAGCAAACATGCCTGGCGGTGGTGTAGCGGTTAATGAGACTTCAGTCGCAACGACGCGGGTTCAAATCCCCGTCGGAAAATTTTTGACTGTTCACTTTTTAGCGAACAATTTTTCTCTGTTTGGTTAAAAACGAATAAACACTCAACATAAGATTATGTAGTGGCTAATAATAAAACTTGTGAACCCATGCATTTGCATAAAATCTCAAGGGCTCACCCCTTATTTGCAAACTTGAGATTGTTAGCACAACAAATGCATATATTCACAAGTTTTATTATTAGCCACTACGTAATCCTATGTTGAGTGTTTATTAGTCTTTAACCAAACAGAAAAAAATTGTTCGCTAAAAATCGAAACAAATATGTAAAGATAATAATACACACACGTGGGCTCGAACCCACGTAACCAAGGCTGCACACATTTGCTTAACCACTACACTACCGTCAGGTACACTTACACTGCTTCACAGCCTATATATTGTATTGCTAGATCAAGACGTACTGCGTCGGTCAGCCGATGACCTGTTTTCCACGTCTAGGGGAGGTCGGGATTGGACGTCATATCCACGTATATGGGAGGTCATTGTTTTACGTCCAGATGCGCACCTTGCACAGACGTCGTTTAGACGTAAATAAAAGGTCACGACCGACCGACGCGATATTGACGTGATCTGGAGGTTGAGTGGACGTCGGATGTTTAGTGGGAACCAGGACTAAACCAGGACTAAACCAGGACTAAACCAGGACTAAACCAGGACTAAACCAGGACTGAGGACGGGGGTCAGTGCTTGTGAACATGTCTTTATCCTGAGTTTCTTCTGTGACTGTAAAAGTGCCGCTACAGAAGTACCGGCGTCTGCATCAAAGCTCCGCCCACTTCTGTGTTTTTCCCAAACGCAGGACGTCCGAGACACACGTGTGATTTCATTCACACATAACGAACATCTGCGTTTTCAAATTATTTTATAAACTGAGGGGGGGGGGGGAAATATTCGGTTTTAAATATACCCGGCTACGTGTGGACGTGGCCTAACTGTCCAACAGACTCCTGCATCTCCAAAACCTAGGACTCAGACTGTAGAACGAGGACTGAGGCTGTAGACCCAGGACTCAGACTGTAGAACGAGGACTGAGGCTGTCGACCCAGGACTCAGACTGTAGAACGAGGACTGAGGCTGTAGATCCAGGACTCAGACTGTAGAACGAGGACTGAGGCTGTAGACCCAGGACTCAGACTGTAGAACGAGGACTGAGGCTGTAGACCCAGGACTCAGACTGTAGAACGAGGACTGAGGCTGCAGACCCAGGACTCAGACTGTAGAACGAGGACTGAGGCTGTAGACCCAGGACTCAGACTGTAGAACGAGGACTGAGGCTGTAGATCCAGGACTCAGACTGTAGAACGAGGACTGAGGCTGTAGACCCAGGACTCAGACTGTAGATCCAGGACTCAGACTGTAGAACGAGGACTGAGGCTGTAGATCCAGGACTCAGACTGTAGAACGAGGACTGAGGCTGTAGATCCAGGACTTAAGCTGCAGAGCGTGGACCAGGGCCAAGCAGTGGCCGCAGAACGTGGACAGGTCTGATGCAGGACTGAAGCAGCTCGGTCTAGGTCTAGTTTAATAGTCTGTTGTGTAAACTCTTAATAAAGTGTTATTTTCATCAGGAGAGTCGGATCTACGCTGTGGCCAAGTCCGGGATCAGACTTTCTGAGACCTCATACGCAGACTCTGCGAGCAAAGGTATTACACATACTTTATGAAAATCTACTTTTTTGAGCTTTTAACCATGTTACAATATTGTTCCGTCATCAGTCACAGACCTAGAGTTGTTTTCAGATCCATCCATGCTATTATCAGGAACTTTTGGCACAAACATGTGACTCCGCCCCTTTTGTCTCAGTCTGTAATAGTGTTATGTCATTGTACCACTGTGACATCACACTCAGAGCAGTTTCCCAATTCATTGAGATTTCAGAATCTGTTTTTTCAGTGGAGTTCTGGCCCCAGAGAGAGCTATTGCATACTTTTAGTGTTAATGGAAACCGAAGCAGACATGGGGAGAACATGCAAACTCCACCCAGTGTTCAGCAACCAACATAGTGCCCATGAATTTGATTTGCCAGTTTCTCAGTTGAAATCATGGCAGTGGTTGTGACTGTACACCTCCCTCTGGTGGTCGCATAGAGAGTTACCCTTGATATGTGTTTCACCTCATAGTTTCTATTCAATATAATTTTTTACAAATTCTAAAACTTGAAATTCCAAAGTAAATCGCACTACTACTGTTGTGTTTGGTTGGTCTCAAACAGCACCTTATCTCAAACTTGTTTTCTGCAGAATGTGTTTGATTATTTCCTTGTTTGTCACTAAAATGTCTCTGTTTCTTTCCCTTTCAAACAAAAGCACTCCTTGATCTAAATCTAGCAGAATGTAAAATGTGCACAGATAATGCATAATGTCAGTTGTGTTGTTATTGTGTTGTTGTTGTGTTGTTGCTGTGCAGATGGGTCGCTGCAGTCATCGTTCCCGGCCTTCCTCATGTACACGTCTCTGATCTACAGGAACATGAGCACGCCGCTCTACAGCACGCTTAAAGGGGTCAGGCTCTTTTCCACTGCAGCTGGGCTCACACGGCAACACTCACGTCATTCATAAATTAATCAAACTCATTTTTACCTCTGAAGCATTCCTGGGAGAGATCCTTTCCTCCTTTACTGAAGAAATGTTGCATGGTGATGTCATCATTACTCATTAGTTTGTATTTGACTGATCAATGATTTTGACTCTGAAAAAGTTGGACTAATAAGTTGCATGTGAAGAGTACGTCTTCATCAATATTAATAATCACATGGAATAGTGACTCACATGGTTCTGTCAAGTATCAAACAAATGTTTTCTATTGATGAGAACGATGTTTGCAGTCGTGAGCCGAGCTGGAGGGCTGTGGGATTGGGAATATACACCTGCACGTCGTAATCAGGTGGATTCATGTTTTCACCCTTGTGTGCAGAAAGCCACCCTCCTGAGCAGCAGCCCCTTCACAGACGACTCTTCCAACTCCGAGGACTCGTCCAGTTCAGGGGAAGAGGACGGCTCCGTGTGCAGCTCCCAGGCGTCCTCCTCCGGCTCCCGCAAAGACAGCAGTCCAGGCAGCCCTAGGTCTCTCAAGAGAGGTACTGCAGTCTCACGTGATATCACTACATAAGTATTCTTATTCTATGTGTTTTCTATAGACACTGTTTAATACTTTACACACTGAGGGGTTTTATTGTTGGTGGCTGCGTTGGAAACTATTGATCACTGGCTTCATCACCTAAAGACCTCTCCCCGGTGCTAAAATAGAGTTTCTATCTATGGATCTATTCCTGTTTCTGCATATAGACACAATATCCAATAACATACATCCACTTCTACAACTATTACTACTACTACTACTACTACTACACTGGATACCTTCTCTCCTATAATAAAATTGTCTCATTACTTTTCCTGGTAGCTACTAATGCTACTGCTGCTGCTATATGTATGCTTATTACAGTCCTACTACTACTTCTACTACTACTACTACTTCTGCTTTCACTACTATTCCTATACCTTGGTGGCCCTGGGCGCTGCAGCTGTGTCTCCTCCGACCTGAATGAACAATGGACGAACTGTTCCTAATAATCCGCTGCCATAAAGGTGCTTTGATTTCCAGCTCTCTTTCCAGTTTTCTTTCACTCAGCAGTAAACGGCGCAGTAGCAGTTTCTAACTCGGTCCTCGTCATTATGTAACTCTGTGAAAGAAGCACATTTCAAGCTCACAGACTTTGGCGACTGCACACTATAATCCATTATATGAAAAACAATAATAAACATTCTGCTATAGATAAAATGTTGTATTATTCCCATGAGGGAGAATTCAAGTGCCCCCCAGTGGCACAGACAGGAGAGACAACCGACCGTTCAGTGCTGCATGAGCTTGAATGAATGAATGAAAGCTTTATTTGTCCCACATGGGAAAATAGCTATTGAATTCAGGATACTAGCTTCCCACAAAGGTTTCCCTACATGTTAGAGATTTTATTAGTCCTCTGTCTCCGGCCTTTTTGTCTGAGCGTCACAGCACACTCTACAGAACTTTCTATAGCCCTTAATCACAGCAGCAGTCTCTCAGAGGACTTTACAAAGTTGTCCGTTACTTAATAACATCAGAGAATCAAACCGTTGCAACACTTGAAATGCTCTGCCCTAAATAATCGCGCACACATCCGATATCAAATGGATGTTGGCTTTTGAAATTCAGTTCACTCACTTTGATTTGTTAGTGTGTTTATAGTGTGTATCCTAATGATAGATGTGTGTTCTACTATTTATAGTAACGATAATCCATCCATCTTGAATGATCTTCCCCTTTTCCCCTTGTGTCCGGCAGCAGTGTCCATGTCGTCTGTGGCCTCGGACAGCGACTACGCCATTCCCCCAGACGCCTACAGCACGGACACAGAATGCTCCGAACCTGAACAAAAACTGCCCAAAACCTGCTCCTCCTCCAGCGAAAACGGAAAGACTGTATGTTGAATATGAAAACCATTATTTTCACATTTACCCAAGTGCGTAAGAGGACTGTATGTAACCAAGATTATTACATCACAGTAGATACATCTGCCAAATGATGATGATAATAATAATAATGTATTATTATTAATAGAATAAGGCTTATGATCTGACTGTATATTTGCACTTCAGACATTCATAACTTCAGGGCTTGACTTTCACCTCGGCAGGTCAACAAATGAAGCTTAAGCGGAGGTTCAGGATGGTAGACTACCTCCGTTATCACACCAGGCTAGACCAGGCTAGACCAGGCTAGACCAGGCCTTACTCAGCCTGTCATAATCAACTCATCAACTCCCTGCAGCTGTCAATCAAGCCAGCGTTTAGAAGCAAAGCAGAGCTCATCAAACGGACTTTCAAGCCGCCGGGGCCTAAGCTCCAAACCAATAAAAAAACTCAATCCATAAAATCTCAATCGCATAAAGAATTCTCAAACGCATCTGTCTCTGTGTCTCTCCAGGTTGAAAAGCCTCTCGTGATTCTGTGTCTTGGCTCATTCTTTTTTACTCACATCCACACTATAGTCCACAGTGGCCTCTGAGTTAACCCAAAATCATGAATATAACGTTTATTAAAATGTATTTATTCTTAGGAACCGATGGAAAAGTCTGGATACTTGTTGAAAATGGTGAAAACTTGGAAGAAAAGCTGGAAGAGGAGATGGTTTGTGCTGAAAGATGGAGAACTGCTTTACTACAAGTCACCAGTTAGTTTAATAGATTATAGTTTAATTGTTATTCTCAGAAGAATTCAATATTCACTTTCATCCTTTTTATTTGACTTTGTTCCAGAGCGACGTGATCCGGAAACCTCGAGGTCAGATCCAAGTCCATGCATCGAGCAACATCCTCCGAGGAGAGAGCAAACAGATCCTGCAGGTGAACTCTCAAATCTAATCCCAGAAGAACTCTGCTCAAATCTCATTCAATGTAAAGATAAGATAAGATGTGCTTTATTTATCTCACAGAGAAATGTACATGTCACATTTGGCATGGAGAGAACACTCAGATTGTGCAAAAGGAGGAAATGTGCAAACATGTTACATGCAGGATATATGTACAATAAAGTGACAAGTGTCAGTTGGAAACAGTGTCAATAGTAGTGCAGGTTTTCACAGTGATCATTTAAAGTGACTTATTGTACAGTCTGACAGCAGTGGGGATAAAGGCCCTGCTCCTTCCTACACTGAGGGTGTCTCAGTCTTCCACTGAAGGAGCTCCTCAGCTCCTCAGTCCTGTGCAGTGGGAGGTGTTGTCCATGATGGAGGTGGCTTTGGCTAGCACCTCCTGTCCCTCACCTCCTCCACAGAGTCCAGGGGCCTCCTGTCCCTCACCTCCTCCACAGAGTCCAGGGGCCTCCTGTCCCTCACCTCCTCCACAGAGTCCAGGGGCCTCCTGTCCCTCACCTCCTCCACAGAGTCCAGGGGCCTCCTGTCCCTCACCTCCTCCACAGAGTCCAGGGGCCTCCTGTCCCTCACCTCCTCCACAGAGTCCAGGGGCCTCCTGTCCCTCACCTCCTCCACAGAGTCCAGGGGCCTCCTGTCCCTCACCTCCTCCACAGAGTCCAGGGGCCTCCTGTCCCTCACCTCCTCCACAGAGTCCAGGGGCCTCCTGTCCCTCACCTCCTCCACAGAGTCCAGGGGCCTCCTGTCCCTCACCTCCTCCACAGAGTCCAGGGGCCTCCTGTCCCTCACCTCCTCCACAGAGTCCAGGGGCCTCCTGTCCCTCACCTCCTCCACAGAGTCCAGGGGCCTCCTGTCCCTCACCTCCTCCTGACCAGCTTGTTCAGTCTGTTTCTGTCCCGCTCTGTGCTGCCCGGGGCCCAGCACACGGCAGCGTAGGAAATGGCAGATGCTACCACAGAGTCATAAAAAGTCCTGAGCAGAGGCCTGCTCACTCCGAAGGACCTCAGCCTCCTCAGAAGGACCTCAGCCTCCTCAGAAGGACCTCAGCCTCCTCAGAAGGACCTCAGTCTCCTCAGAAGGACCTCAGCCTCCTCAGAAGGACCTCAGCCTCCTCAGAAGGACCTCAGTCTCCTCAGAAGGACCTCAGCCTCCTCAGAAGGACCTCAGCCTCCTCAGAAGGACCTCAGCCTCCTCAGAAGGACCTCAGTCTCCTCAGAAGGACCTCAGTCTCCTCAGAAGGACCTCAGCCTCCTCAGAAGGACCTCAGCCTCCTCAGAAGGACCTCAGCCTCCTCAGAAGGACCTCAGCCTCCTCAGAAGGACCTCAGCCTCCACAGAAGGACCTCAGCCTCCTCAGAAGGAAGAGGCGACTTTGGCCCTTCTTGTGCAGGGCGTTTGTATTATGGACCAGTCCAGTTTATTGTTAATGTGAACACCCAGGTACTTGAAGCTGTCCACCAGCTCAATGTCCTCCCCCTGGATGTTCAGCAGCGTGTGGGAAAGTGGTTTTCTCCTGAAGTCGATGACCATCTCCTTGGTCTTACTGGTGTTCAAGCACAAGTGGTTGCGCTCACACCAGTCGACAAAGTCCTTGATAACCGGCCGATAAGAATAATAATAAGTAAGGGATAACGTATAGTACGCAGGTCATTATCGGAAAATAAGTACCTTCAGGGCGAAGCGGACTGCTTCGCCCTGAAGGTACTTATTTTCCGATAATGACCTGCGTAATATACGTTATCCCGCTTATTATACGGCTTTAAACCAACAGAACACACAACATAAACTTCAGTCCACTTTTAGGAATGCCAAAAGATTATTTAATGACAGAAAATAAAATAGTTCCCAAAGGCTTTCCCGTGGCTATGCTAGCAACAGTTAGGCTAGCAACAGTTAGGCTAACAACTTCCAAACTAGAACTCTCTGGAACTGCGTGAAAACTGAACAAAGAATCCTGAACATCAGCGGTGAGTGACCCAAACATAAACTTAACCTAAATCCATAATTCCATCCTCTGCAAATGTTCCTAAAATGTGCCGTATCTACTTCCGGGTTTTTCGGGATTGCCTTTTCTCTCATTACATCAGTGTTTTTGTCATGAAAACGTAAACGGAAAATTCTGAAAACTTCCGTGCACTTGTATTAAGACTGGATATGTATAAATTACTCTCCGATAAACATTTCATTGCGTTGATTGATTGGCATTTGCGTTTATTGAGCGGCCGGAACTACTTCCGGGTTTTTCACGATCGCTTTTTGACGCAGAGAAATAGTATTTTTGTCATGAAGACAAGACCAGAACATTCTGAACACTTCCGTGCACGTGTGTGAAGAATGTATATGTATAAGTATTCTCCGATTAACATTTAAGTGTGTTGATTGAGCGTGGCTAGCTCCGGAGTGGCCGGAACTACTGTCGGAGTTATCCACGCATTTGAAAGACAAGCAGAGAGTGCGTTGCCAAAGGGCAGTGGTCATTATTGTTTTGAGACGTCCGTTATAGAAAATAATGACCGGTCGAACGTTTTTAAATTATATTCAGATCAATGGTTCTGCTGCTGCTGTGAGGAGCCGTATAATAATATAATATAATGTTCTGTTCCAGTCCAGATTGAAATGTTTGATCTATAATCTATAATCCAGCATATTTACATTCACTGTGTGTGTGTGTGTGTGTGTGTCCAGATTCTGACTGCGAAGCGTGTGTGCGTTTGTGTGTGTGTCCAGATTCTGACTGCGAAGCGTGTGTGTGTGTGTGTGTGTGTCCAGATTCTGACTGCGAAGCGTGTGTGTGTGTGTGTGTGTGTGTGTGTGTCCAGATTCTGACTGCGAAGCGTGTGTGTGTGTGTGTGTGTGTCCAGATTCTGACTGCGAAGCGTGTGTATGTGTGTGTGTGTCCAGATTCTGACGGCGAAGCGTGGCGTGTGTGTGTGTGTGTGTCCAGATTCTGACGGCGAAGCGTGGTGTGTGTGTGTGTGTCCAGATTCTGACGGCGAAGCGTGTGTGTGTGTGTCCAGATTCTGACTGCGAAGCGTGTGTGCGTTTGTGTGTGTGTCCAGATTCTGACTGCGAAGCGTGTGTGTGTGTGTGTCCAGATTCTGACGGCGAAGCGTGGTGTGTGTGTGTGTGTGTCCAGATTCTGACGGCGAAGCGTGTGTGTGTGTGTGTGTCCAGATTCTGACGGCGAAGCGTGTGTGTGTGTGTGTGTGTGTCCAGATTCTGACGGCGAAGCGTGTGTGTGTGTGTGTGTCCAGATTCTGACGGCGAAGCGTGTGTGTGTGTGTGTCCAGATTCTGACGGCAAAGCGTGTGTGTGTGTGTGTGTGTGTGTGTCCAGATTCTGACGGCGAAGCGTGGTGTGTGTGTGTGTGTCCAGATTCTGACGGCGAAGCGTGGTGTGTGTGTGTGTGTCCAGATTCTGACGGCAAAGCGTGTGTGTGTGTGTCCAGATTCTGACGGCGAAGCGTGTGTGTGTGTCCAGATTCTGACGGCGAAGCGTGTGTGTGTGCGTCCAGATTCTGACGGCGAAGCGTGGCGTGTGTGTGTGTGTGTGTCCAGATTCTGACTGCAAAGCGTGTGTGTGTGTGTCCAGATTCTGACTGCGAAGCGTGTGTGTGTGTGTGTGTGTGTCCAGATTCTGACTGCGAAGCGTGTGTGTGTGTGTGTGTGTGTGTCCAGATTCTGACTGCGAAGCGTGTGTATGTGTGTGTGTGTCCAGATTCTGACGGCGAAGCGTGGCGTGTGTGTGTGTGTGTGTCCAGATTCTGACGGCGAAGCGTGGTGTGTGTGTGTGTGTCCAGATTCTGACGGCGAAGCGTGGTGTGTGTGTGTGTGTCCAGATTCTGACGGCGAAGCGTGTGTGTGTGTGTGTGTGTCCAGATTCTGACGGCGAAGCGTGGTGTGTGTGTGTGTGTCCAGATTCTGACTGCAAAGCGTGTGTGTGTGTGTCCAGATTCTGACTGCGAAGCGTGTGTGTGTGTGTGTGTGTGTCCAGATTCTGACTGCGAAGCGTGTGTGTGTGTGTGTGTGTGTCCAGATTCTGACGGCGAAGCGTGTGTGTGTGTGTCCAGATTCTGACGGCGAAGCGTGGCGGTGTGTGTGTGTGTGTGTCCAGATTCTGACGGCGAAGCGTGGTGTGTGTGTGTGTGTCCAGATTCTGACGGCGAAGCGTGGTGTGTGTGTGTGTGTCCAGATTCTGACGGCGAAGCGTGTGTGTGTGTGTCCAGATTCTGACTGCGAAGCGTGTGTGCGTTTGTGTGTGTGTCCAGATTCTGACTGCGAAGCGTGTGTGTGTGTGTGTGTGTGTCCAGATTCTGACGGCGAAGCGTGGTGTGTGTGTGTGTGTGTCCAGATTCTGACGGCGAAGCGTGTGTGTGTGTGTGTGTCCAGATTCTGACGGCGAAGCGTGTGTGTGTGTGTGTGTGTGTCCAGATTCTGACGGCGAAGCGTGTGTGTGTGTGTGTGTCCAGATTCTGACGGCGAAGCGTGTGTGTGTGTGTCCAGATTCTGACGGCAAAGCGTGGTGTGTGTGTGTGTGTGTGTGTCCAGATTCTGACGGCGAAGCGTGTGTGTGTGTGTGTGTGTGTCCAGATTCTGACGGCGAAGCGTGGTGTGTGTGTGTGTGTCCAGATTCTGACGGCGAAGCGTGTGTGTGTGTGTCCAGATTCTGACGGCGAAGCGTGTGTGTGTGTCCAGATTCTGACGGCGAAGCGTGTGTGTGTGTCCAGATTCTGACGGCGAAGCGTGGCGTGTGTGTGTGTGTGTGTCCAGATTCTGACGCCGAAGCGTGGTGTGTGTGTGTGTCCAGATTCTGACGGCGAAGCGTGGTGTGTGTGTGTGTTGGTCCAGATTCTGACTGCGAAGCGTGTGTGTGTGTGTCCAGATTCTGACGGCGAAGCGTGGTGTGTGTGTGTGTCCAGATTCTGACGGCGAAGCGTGGTGTGTGTGTGTCCAGATTCTGACGCCAAAGCGTGGCGTGTGTGTGTCCAGATTCTGACGGCGAAGCGTGGCGTGTGTGTGTCCAGATTCTGACGGCGAAGCGCGCGCGTGTGTGTGTGTCCAGATTCTGACGGCGAAGCGCGCGTGTGTGTGTGTATCCAGATTCTGACGCCGAAGCGTGGTGTGTGTGTGTCCAGATTCTGACGCCGAAGCGTGGCGTGTGTGTGTCCAGATTCTGACGGCGAAGCGTGGTGTGTGTGTGTCCAGATTCTGACGGCGAAGCGTGGTGTGTGTGTGTCCAGATTCTGACGCCGAAGCGTGGCGTGTGTGTGTCCAGATTCTGACGGCGAAGCGCGCGTGTGTGTGTGTGTCCAGATTCTGACGGCGAAGCGCGCGTGTGTGTGTGTGTCCAGATTCTGACGCCGAAGCGTGGCGTGTGTGTGTCCAGATTCTGACGGCGAAGCGCGCGCGTGTGTGTGTATCCAGATTCTGACGCCGAAGCGTGGTGTGTGTGTGTCCAGATTCTGACGCCGAAGCGTGGCGTGTGTGTGTCCAGATTCTGACGGCGAAGCGCGCGTGTGTGTGTGTGTCCAGATTCTGACGCCGAAGCGTGGCGTGTGTGTGTCCAGATTCTGACGGCGAAGCGCGCGTGTGTGTGTGTGTCCAGATTCTGACGGCGAAGCGCGCGTGTGTGTGTGTGTCCAGATTCTGACGGCGAAGCGTGTGTACTTTCTGAAAGCCGACTCTCCAAACCTTCTGGACGAATGGCTGCAGGTTCTACAGAGCGTCCTGAGGCTCAAAGCGGCGAGTCCTCTCTTCACTCAGCCAGACATCCGGCCCAGCATGAAGGGGCTGCTGCTCAAGGTGACCACTCTATGCACCGGCACTTTATGGACAGGCACTTTATGGACATGCACTTTATGCACCGGCATTTTATGGACAGGCATTTTATGGACATGCACTTTATGGACAGGCATTTTATGCACAGGCATTTTCGGGGACAGGCACTTTATGGACATGCACTTTATGGACAGGCACTTTATGGACATGCACTTTATGGACAGGCATTTTATGGACAGGCATTTTATGGACAGGCATTTTATGGACAGGCACTTTATGGACAGGCATTTTATGGACAGGCATTTTATGGACAGGCACTTTATGCACAGGCATTTTATGGACAGGCACTTTATGGACATGCACTTTATGGACAGGCACTTTATGGACAGGCACTTTATGCACCGGCATTTTATGGACAGGCACTTTATGCACAGGCATTTTATGGACAGGCACTTTATGGACATGCACTTTATGGACAGGCACTTTATGGACAGGCACTTTATGCACCGGCATTTTATGGACAGGCATTTTATGGACAGGCATTTTATGCACAGGCATTTTATGGACATGCACTTTATGGACAGGCCTTTTATGGACATGCACTTTATGGACAGGCACTTTATGGACAGGCATTTTATGGACAGGCACTTTATGGACAGGCACTTTATGGCACTTTACTTTTAGGCACTCAGTCTTGCTCCGAGTTATCTGTCCGACCTGCTCGTGTCATACTCTCCGACAAGTTCGCTACGATCGGTGGACCAATCACTGCTTATGGTTCCTCGGACTCACCGCAAACTCAGAGGAGACCGAGCTTTTTCTGTGGTTGGTCCCAAACTGTGGAATGAGCTGCCTCTGTGCATTAGACAGGCTGACTCCCTTCCTGTTTTTAAATCACGCCTTAAGACGCATTTGTTCTCTTTGGCTTTTAACTAGTTTGGAAGTTGACTTTTACTGTTCAAATTGTCCACTTATGCCACTGTATATGTGTATATTTGATTGTTTTTTATATTTTGATTTTTGTACGGCACTTTGGTCAACTGTGTTGTTTTTATTAGTGCGTTATAAATAAATTGGATTGGATTTATGGACAGGCACTTTATGGACAGGCACTTTATGTACAGGCACTTTATGGACAGGCACTTTATGGACAGGCACTTTATGTACAGGCACGTTATGTACATGCACTTTATATACAGGCACGTTATGTACAGGCACTTTATGGACAGTGTTAACGCTGGTTCAGCCACGGTTTATCCTTCGATGATGAATGGACACTACAAATTCTGCTTAGATATATAAAAAGGTTTAATATATAAAAACACAGAATACAGGATTACAGATTACAGGCAACGTGGCAGACTGGTTGCTCCAGTCTGGGCCCTGCTCCCTGGCAAACCCAAAGCAAAAGACCCCGCTTCAGAAACAGACTATCGGTGATAAGCACACAGTCACATGACATGATAATTGAAGACATATGTCCCAACATCCTTAGGTGAAGACAATACCTTCTATGTTCAGGACAAACAGTAGCCCCTTTCAAAGTAAGCCTGAGGCTACTCTAAACAGATGTTCTCTGCGTTCTTGCCTTAATTTAACTTCCTGTGTTTAATGGCTGGGGGATGGATGGTTTCCATACATTCTTGCACTCACCAGACTAGCTACTACTAGTCCCTTACTAGACTAACCGTTACATTTATTAATATGATAATAACACAATAACATACTCCATTGACAGACAGGCACGTAATGTACATGCACTTTATATACAGGCAAGTTATGTACAGGCACTTTATGTACAGGCACGTTATGTACAGGCACGTTATGTACAGGCACGTTATGTACAGGCACGTTATGTACAGGCACGTTATGTACAGGCACGTTATGTACAGGCACGTTATGGACAGGCACGTTATGTACAGGCACGTTATGTACAGGCACGTTATGTACAGGCACGTTATGTACAGGCACGTTATGTACAGGCACGTTATGTACAGGCACGTTATGTACATGCACTTTATATACAGGCACTTTATGTACAGGCACTTTGAAAAAACAATACTAAAAATGGCACTGACTGAACGTGGTCACCTACTTTCCCTCCAGGTGCTCCGGTTTCTCCTACCATTAAAAACATGTACAAGTGCTTTTGTGGTTTCTGTGGATTTTTGTTTTGGATATTTCAAACCAAATGATTGTGACAGAATCAGTGAAGGCTTCAAAGAGTCCAGATTATTGTTATACTTTTAGAGTCCAAACTCTTGAACACAATGGGCCTCATTCACGAACGGTTCTTAGGAACAGATTTGTACGTAAATCCTACTTACGAGGTTTTTACGAAAAAAGTGGCATTCACGAATTTTTCTCGTAACCAGAATTTCTCTTGGGCAAGTACAAATCCTACGAGTCCTCAGGAGCACTCGTACGCATTCAGTGCCGACATGTTCACACGCCGGGGTTGTCCTCTTTGGTGAAGTTTAATAAAAATACAACATTCCAGTGATATTTCCGTCATATCGATGTATGTATTTATTTATTTGTAGTAATCTTTATTAGTAATCTTTATTTATATACCGCCTTTTTCACTGCAGATCTGGCCTATTTTTTAATTCATTTTGAAATGAAATGTGCCAACGCTTTATCAAATACATTGGAAATCTTGCCGTGTATTAGTGACCCCTTCCTATTTATAGGGGGCATTTCTTTATCCACGGGCCACAGAACAACGGCATATATACTGCTGCTGCAGGAGGTTACTGGGTCCGCGCTGAGTCTCTGCGCTGGTCTCTCCTATGGATCTATACGGGTCTGCACTGGTCTCTCCCATGGATCTATACGGGTCTGCGCTGGTCTCTCCCATGGATCTATACGGGTCTGCGCTGGTCTCTCCTATGGATCTATACGGGTCTGCACTGGTCTCTCCATACGGGTCCGTGCTGCATGCTCCTGGATCCATACGGGTCCGCGCTGGTCTCTCAAGTCTGGTCTATGCGGTCTATCTTCGGTCCGCGCTGGTCTCTGCGCACCGGTCTCTCCAGTCAGGTCACTCCAGTCTATGCGGTCTCTCCTATACTGTAGGTCCGCGCTGGTTTCTGTGTGCTGGTCACTCCAGTCTCTCCTCGGGTCTGCATTGGTCTCAGCGCTGGTCCGCGCTGGATCTCCTCCCAGGGTCCAAAATATTTTGAGATTAATCTCAAAACATTTTGAGATTCATCTTTAAAATAATACATAATATATTTTTAAATTAAGCTCATAACATTTTGAGATTAATCTCATCATATTCTTAGATTAATCTTATAATTTTGCTAGTTCGACTTTATTCTCATAATATTTCGACTTTTAAGTCAACATTTTATAACTATTCTCAGTCTGGCAAAAGAAGAAAAAAGGGTGACTCTTTTGCTCCGTGTAACTCTTTGCTTTAGGCCTGTTGCTGTTTCCTCTGCCGTCTGCACACGGCCCTTCAGTCCCTTTTATGGGCATTAATGGGCGGTTACTTATGCTAAGTACCTATGCTAATGAAGCACCTGGACACGCGCGCTCTACTTACGAGGAGTTGGCATTCATCAATCTGTGAGAACAGCTGCGAACAATTCAGCGGCTTAAGAGCGCGTTGATGAATCCCACGTAGGGACTTCTTAGAAATCTACTTAAGGACAACTTGAGAAGAAATTTGAGAAGTTTCTTACGAAGTTATTCGTGAATGAGGCCCAATGTTTCCAATGACTCGTTCATTTGTCGTAATATTGTTCTTGAATCGTTCTCGTATTGATTTGTGTTTTACTTCATTGTGTAAAACTATGTTTATAATTGTGTAAAACTATGTTTATAATTGTGTAAAACTATGTTTATAATCGTTTAAAACTATACGTTTATAATTGTGTAAAACTATATGTTTATAATTGTGTAAAACTATGTTTATAATTGTGTAAAACTATGTTTATAATTGTTTAAAACTATGCGTTTATAATTGTTTAAAACTATACGTTTATAATTGTGTAAAACTATACGTTTATAATTGTGTAAAACTATACGTTTATAATTGTGTAAAACTATACGTTTATAATTGTGTAAAACTATATGTTTATAATTGTTTATAACTATATGTTTATAATTGTTTATAACTATATGTTTATAATTGTTTATAACTATATGTTTATAATTGTTTATAACTATATGTTTATAATTGTTTAAAACTTTATGTTTATAATTGTTTATAACTATATGTTTATGTTTATAATTGTTTATAACTATATGTTTATAATCGTTTAAAACTATATGTTTATAATTTTTTATAACTATGTTTATAATTGTTTATAACTATATGTTTATAATCGTTTAAAACTATATGTTTATAATTGTTTAAAACTATATGTTTATAATTGTTTATAACTATATGTTTATAATTGTTTAAAACTATATGTTTATAATTGTTTATAACTATATGTTTATAATTGTTTATAACTATGTTTATAATTGTTTATAACTATATGTTTATAATTGTTTAAAACTTTATGTTTATAATTGTTTAAAACTATATGTTTATAATTGTTTAAAACTATATGTTTATAATTGTTTATAACTATATGTTTATAATTGTTTATAACTATGTTTATAATTGTTTATAACTATATGTGTATAATTGTTTAAAACTATGTTTATAATTGTTTATAACTATATGTTTATAATTGTTTATAACTATATGTTTATAATTGTTTATAACTATATGTTTATAATTGTTTATAACTATGTTTATAATTGTTTATAACTATATGTTTATGTTTATAATTGTTTATAACTATATGTTTATAATTGTTTATAACTATATGTTTATGTTTATAATTGTTTATAACTATGTTTATAATTGTTTATAACTATATGTTTATGTTTATAATTGTTTTATAACTATATGTTTATAATTGTTTATAACTATATGTTTATAATTGTTAAACTATGTTTATAATTGTTTATAACTATATGTTTATAATTGTTTATAACTATATGTTTATGTTTATAATTGTTTATAACTACATGTTTATAATTGTTTATAACTATATGTTTATAATTGTTTAAAACTATACGTTTATAATTGTTTAAAACTCTACGTTTATAATTGTGTAAAACTATACGTTTATAATTGTTTAAAACTATATGTTTATAATTGTTTTATATGTTTATAATTGTTTATAACTATATGTTTATAATTGTTTATAACTATATGTTTATAATTGTTTATAACTATATGTTTATAATTGTTTATAACTATATGTTTATAATTGTTTAAAACTTTATGTTTATAATTGTTTATAACTATATGTTTATGTTTATAATTGTTTATAACTATATGTTTATAATCGTTTAAACTATATGTTTATAATTTTTTATAACTATGTTTATAATTGTTTAACTATATGTTTATAATCGTTTAAAACTATATGTTTATAATTGTTTAAAACTATGTTTATAATGTTTATAACTATATGTTTATAATTGTTTATAACTATGTTTATAATTGTTTATAACTATATGTGTTGTTATAATTGTTTATAACTATATGTTTATAATGTTTTAACTATATGTTTATAATTGTTTATAACTATATGTTTATAATTGTTTATAACTATGTTATAATTGTTATAATATATGTTTTATTGTTTAACTATGTTTATAATTGTTTATAACTATATGTGTATAATTGTTTAAAACTATGTTTATAATTGTTTATAACTATATGTTTATAATTGTTTATAACTATATGTTTATAATTGTTTATAACTATATGTTTATAATTGTTTATAACTATGTTTATAATTGTTTATAACTATATGTTTATGTTTATAATTGTTTATAACTATATGTTTATAATTGTTTATAACTATATGTTTATGTTTATAATTGTTTATAACTATGTTTATAATTGTTTATAACTATATGTTTATGTTTATAATTGTTTATAACTATATGTTTATAATTGTTTATAACTATATGTTTATAATTGTTAAACTATGTTTATAATTGTTTATAACTATATGTTTATAATTGTTTATAACTATATGTTTATGTTTATAATTGTTTATAACTACATGTTTATAATTGTTTATAACTATATGTTTATAATTGTTTAAAACTATACGTTTATAATTGTTTAAAACTCTACGTTTATAATTGTGTAAAACTATACGTTTATAATTGTTTAAAACTATATGTTTTATAATTGTTTAAAACTATATGTTTATAATTGTTTATAACTATATGTTTATAATTGTTTATAACTATATGTTTATAATTGTTTATAACTATATGTTTATAATTGTTTATAACTATATGTTTATAATTGTTTAAAACTTTATGTTTATAATTGTTTATAACTATATGTTTATGTTTATAATTGTTTATAACTATATGTTTATAATCGTTTAAAACTATATGTTTATAATTTTTTATAACTATGTTTATAATTGTTTATAACTATATGTTTATAATCGTTTAAAACTATATGTTTATAATTGTTTAAAACTATATGTTTATAATTGTTTATAACTATATGTTTATAATTGTTTATAACTATGTTTATAATTGTTTATAACTATATGTGTATAATTGTTTAAAACTATATGTTTATAATTGTTTATAACTATATGTTTATAATTGTTTATAACTATATGTTTATAATTGTTTATAACTATATGTTTATAATTGTTTATAACTATGTTTATAATTGTTTATAACTATATGTTTATGTTTATAATTGTTTATAACTATATGTTTATAATTGTTTATAACTATATGTTTATGTTTATAATTGTTTATAACTATGTTTATAATTGTTTATAACTATATGTTTATGTTTATAATTGTTTATAACTATATGTTTATAATTGTTTATAACTATATGTTTATAATTGTTAAACTATGTTTATAATTGTTTATAACTATATGTTTATAATTGTTTATAACTATATGTTTATGTTTATAATTGTTTATAACTACATGTTTATAATTGTTTATAACTATATGTTTATAATTGTTTAAAACTATACGTTTATAATTGTTTAAAACTCTACGTTTATAATTGTGTAAAACTATACGTTTATAATTGTTTAAAACTCTACGTTTATAATTGTGTAAAACTATACGTTTATAATTGTTTAAAACTATATGTTTATAATTGTTTAAAACTATATGTTTATAATTGTTTATAACTATATGTTTATAATTGTTTATAACTATATGTTTATAATTGTTTATAACTATATGTTTATAATTGTTTATAACTATATGTTATAACTGTCTGTTGCAGGTGAAGCACGGTTATTCCAAAAGGGTTTGGTGCGCTCTGATTGGAAAAACACTTTATTACTTCAGAAGTCAAGAGGACAAGGTAACAGCACTTTAAGTTCTATCATGTATGTAACCTGTACTTCATGTGTCTTTAGTATGAACCATTTTATTTGTATTTTCACCCCAACATTTCTACATATGTTTATTTGTATAGCACAGTTCATGCACAAGCAGACTCAAAGTGCTTATCAAAACAAAATAATAAATATTACAATCTCACTGTCAAAATCATTTATAGTCAAAGTCAAAACGTGGAAAGATACAATCTTTCAGTTGTACTCACAGCTAAACGGTTCTGTTTTAACCTGGATTAACAGTTTAGAAGCCTGTCTCACATTTTCAGGAAGACTCTTCCAGATTTTAGATACATGAATCTGAAATGCTGCCTCTGTATGTTTAGTCCTGACTCTGGGACCAGTAGGAGTCCAGTCCCTGTGCTCCTCAGAGTCCCAGCAGGAGTCCAGTCCCTGTGCTCCTCAGAGTCCCAGCAGGAGTCCAGTCCCTGTGCTCCTCAGAGTCCCAGCAGGAGTCCAGTCCCTGTGCTCCTCAGAGTCCCAGCAGGAGTCCAGTCCCTGTGCTCCACGGAGTCCACAGAGTCCCAGCAGGAGGCCAGTCCCTGTGCTCCTCGGAGTCCCAGCAGGAGGCCCCAGTCCCTGTGCTCCTCGGAGTCCCAGCAGGAGTCCAGTCCCTGTGCTCCTCAGAGTTCTTCATATGGCACTAACATGTCACAGTTTTAAAGTCTTTTCTCTGAGCCACTAGAAAAGGTAAATGCTCAAAAGGTACTGTGTGTTTTTAGTTTCCACTGGGTCAAATCCGGCTGTGGGAGGCGCGTGTGGAGGAGGTGGAGGAGGAGGTCTGTGGTCGGAGCCCACACTTCACTCTCTGCATCCAGCCTCAGGACCAAGGCCCCACGTACCTGCTCATCGACTCCCCGCACCAGAAGGTCTGGCTTTGTCACCTCCAGGGTTAGACACTAGAACTCAGACGGTTCTGGGCAGATTGTTCCAACGTTTATAGTAAATATCTGACATGAAACAAGGAGCTGTTTATTCAATCTTTGAGAGAACAAGGTTTTAATTTAAAACATTAGTTGGTCCATATTATCATAAACTGTATAATTGTATCACTGAGTCTGGACTGGCCTGGTTAAACTCTAAATTGTACATAAGCATTGAAAATGTAATACATAAAAGGTCCTTGGTTCGAATCCCAATCAGAACATGGCCTTTCTGAGTGGAGTTTGCATGTTCTCCCCCTTGTCTGGGTGTGTAGGTTTCCTCCAGGTACTCCGGCTGGAGGTAAAATCCTCCGATGCAGAGTGAAGCTCCGTATGCGGACACTAAAGTACAGCTAACTCTAACAGCTGCTGCCAAACTCAATATTCCTGTTTTTAGATGATCTTTGTGTTTCCACGGTGCAGTGATCATGACCAATAATACCATGGTGTGACATATAAAGACTTGTAAAGTTGTCGACTAATGTCCAGATGAGAAAAACATCCATCCATCCATCCATTTTCTTCCGCTTTATCCGTTGCCGGGTCGCGGGGGCAGCAGTCTAAGCAGAGACGCCCAGACTTCCCTATCCACACACACTTCCTCCAGCTCGTCCGGGGGGACCCCAAGGCGTTCCCAGGCCAGCTGAGAGACATAGTCTCTCCAGCGTGTCCTAGGTCTTCCCCGGGGCCTCCTCCCGGTGGGACGTGCCCGGAACACCTCCCCAGGAAGGCGTCCAGGAGGCATCCTGAACAGATGCCCGAGCCACCTCAACTGGTTCCTCTCGACGTGGAGAAGCAGCGGCTCTACTCCGAGATCCTCCCGTGTGACTGAGCTCCTCACCCTATCTCTAAGGGAGCGCCCAGCCACTCTGCGGAGAAAGCTCATTTTGACCGCTTGTATCCGCGATCTCGTTCTTTTGGTCATTACCCAAAGCTCATGACCATAGGTGAGGGTGGGAACGAAGCCTTTCGGCTCAGCTCCCTCTTTACCACAACGGTCCGATACAGAGACCGCATCACTGCGCACGCTGCACCGATCCGCCTGTCAATCTCACGCTCCATTCTTCCCTCACTCGTGAACAAGACCCCGAGATACTTGAACTCCTCCACTTGAGGAAGGACCTCTCCACCCACCTGGAGAGGGCAAGGCACCTTTTTCCGGTCGAGCACCATGGCCTCGGATTTGGAGGTGCTGATTCTCATCCCAGCCGCTTCGCACTCGGCTGCAAACCGTCCCAGTGCATGCTGCAGGTCCTGGTTCGTTGGAGCCAACAGGACGACATCATCCGCAAAAAGTAGAGATGAAATCCTGTGGTTCCCGAACCGGACCCCCTCCGGCCCCTGGCTGCGCCTAGAAATTCTGTCCATAAATACAGTGAACAGAACCGGTGACAAAGGGCAGCCTTGGCGGAGGCCAACATGCACCGGGAACAGGTCTGACTTACTGCCGGCAATGCGAACACAGCTCTGGCTCCGGTCATACAGGGACCAGACGGCCCTCAGCAGAGGACCCCGGACCCCGTACTCCCGGAGGACCCCCCAAAGGACACCCCGGGGAACACGGTCGAACGCCTTCTCCAAATCCACAAAGCACATGTGGACAGGTTGGGCGAACTCCCATGAACCCTCGAGTATCCGATGGAGAGTATAGAGCTGGTCCAGTGTTCCGCGACCGGGACGAAAACCACACTGCTCCTCCTGAATCCGAGATTCGACCATCGGACGTAGCCTCCTCTCCAGTACCTTGGAGTAGACCTTACCGGGGAGGCTGAGGGTGTGATCCCACGATAATTGGAACACACCCTCCGGTCCCCCTTCTTGTAGAGAGGGACCACCACCCCGGTCTGCCACTCCATTGGCACCGCCCCCGATCGCCACGCGATGTTGCAGAGACGTGTCAGCCAAGACAGTCCTACAACATCCAGAGACTTTAGATAGTCAGGACGGATCTCATCCACTCCCGGCGCCTTGCCACCAAGGAGGCTGCCAACCACCTTGGTGACCTCGGCCAGGGAGATGGAAGTGTCCGCCCCAACATCCTCAGCCTCTGCCTCCTGAACGGAGGACGTGACGGGGGGATTGAGGAGAACCTCGAAGTATTCCTTCCACCGCCCGACAATATCCTCAGTCGAGGTCAGCAGCCCTCCACCCGCACCATACACGGTGTTGGCAAAGAACTGCTTCCCCCTCCTGAGGCGCCGGACGGTTTGCCAGAACCTCTTCGAGGCCGACCGATAGTCATGCTCCATGGACTCTCCGAACTCCTCCCAGTCCCGGGTTTTTGCCTCTGCAACAGCCCGGGCCGCGGCACGTTTGGCCTGCCGGTACTGGACAGCTGCCTCAGGAGTCCCACGAACCATCATTGCTCGATAGGACTCCTTCTTCAGCCTGACGGCATCCCTTACTGCCAGTGTCCACCACCGGGTTCGGGGATTGCCGCCGGGACCAGCACCAGAGACCTTGCGACCACAGCTACGAGCCGCCGCATTGGCGATAGAGGAAGAGAACATGGTCCACTCGGACTCCATGTCCCCCTCCTCCGCCGGGACCTGGGAGAAACTCTCCCGGAGGTGTGAGTTGAAAGTCCGTCTGACAGGGGGCTCAGCGAGACGTTCCCAGCAAACCCTCACTATACGCTTGGGTCTGCCAGGTCTGACCGGCTTCTTCCCCTGCCAGCGGATCCAACTCACGACCAGGTGATGATCGGTTGACAGCTCCGCCCCTCTCTTTACCCGAGTGTCCGAGACACGCGGTCGAAGGTCAGATGATACGACAACAAAGTCGATCATCGACCTCCGGCCTAGGGTGTCCTGGTGCCACGTGCACTGGTGGACACCCTTGTGCTCGAACATGGTGTTCGTGATGGACAGGCCGTGACTGGCACAGAAGTCCAACAACTGAACACCGCTCGGGTTCAGATCAGGGGGGCCGCTCTTCCCAATCACCCCTCTCCAAGTGTCACTGGCATTTCCCACATGGGCGTTGAAGTCCCCCAGGAGAATAACGGAGTCCCCGGGCGGTGCACTGTCCAGTACCCCTCCCAAGGACTCCAAGAAGGCCGGGTACTCTGCGGAGGGACGCGACCCTCTCATTCACCGGGGAGAACTCCAACACGTGGCGGCTGAGATGGGGGGCAATGAGAATGGCCACCCCAGCTCGCCGCCTCTCCCCGCGGGAAACACCAGAAAAGTGGAGCGTCCAACCCCTCTCAAGGAGTTGGGTTCCAGAGCCCAAGCTGTGTGTGGAGGTGAGGCCGACTATCTCTAGTCGGTATCGCTCAACCTCCCCCACAAGCTCGGGCTCCTTCCCCCCCATTGAGGTGACGTTCAACGTCCCAAGAGCCAGATGTTGGGTGTGTGGACTGGGTCGTCGAGGTCTCCGCCTTCGACCGCTGCCCAGTCCTCGCTGCACCACGCCACCACGGACCCCTCTGCAGGTGGTGGGCCCACAGGAGGGACTGCCCACGTCATCCCTTCGGGCTGAGCCCGGCCGGGCCCCGTGGGCTAAGGCCCGGCCACCAGGCGCTCGCTTGCGAGCCCCGACCCCAGGCCTGGCTCCAGGGTGGGGCCCCGGCTGCGCCATGCCGGGCGACGTCACGGTTTTCGTTGTCGTGCTGTCCATGGTTGGCTTCAGATGAGAAAAACAGATCTATTTAATTCAAATGTGTCCTGACTATTACTGTACTGTAACACACTTGAATGGGAGTAGAAGCTTCTCACATATTGATTTCTGTGTAATCTTGACGTTTAGAGTAAATACCGGATATGGAACGATGTCTTTATCACGTGTGTGTGGCCTGAGATTAGAATAACACTTCCTCGGTCTACTGTTGTTTCAAACTACTCTTGTATGTGTTTTGTCTGTTTTTGTGTTATGTGGACTCTTTATATGTCTGAATTAAAGTTTTAATAAAATAAATAAATTAATATAACTTTTTATTTATTTATTTAAGGACGATGACAATCAAGACCCACAAATACAGAGACATGAGTGAATTAAAAACACAGAACAAGCAGAAACATACATCACATTTTTGTATTTGTTCTTTTTTCTAATATTTGTTAATTTCATGATCAAAAGCAGTATTTTTGTATTTTATATTGTTTGTATTTGTGTAACTAACGTGTGTATATTCTGTCCTGATGTGTGTCCAGGATGCGTGGCTGTACCATCTCTCTGTCGCAGCAGGATCAAGGGTCGGTAAAGTGGGGACTGAGTTTGAACGACTTGTGGGGACGCTCTTCCTGCTCGACGGAAATCAGAGTCTGTGGTTTTACCGTGATTTTACCGCATTTCAACCGTTTGAGTCCATCTCTCGTGTGTTACATGTTTCTTGCTCCTCCAGACTCTCAGATCTGGAGACACCCACGGCTCTGCTTCAGTAAAGACGCCCTGACGTCTCCTCTGACCACGCTGCCCTCTCCGGCCCTGCAGACCGAGGCCGTCAAGCTCTTTAAGGTACAGTCACCTCTACAGCATACACACAAACACACTCTGCATACACATCTGTAGACACACAAACACACTCTGCATACACATCTGTAGACACACAAACACACTCTGCATACACATCTGTAGACACACAAACACACTATTCATACACATCTGTAGACACACAAACACACTCTGCATACACATCTGTAGACACACAAACACACTATTCATACACATCTGTAGACACACAAATACACTCTGCATACACATCTGTAGACACACAAACACACTATTCATACACATCTGTAGACACACAAACACACTCTGCATACACATCTGTAGACACACAAACACACTATTCATACACATCTGTAGACACACAAATACACTCTGCATACACATCTGTAGACACACAAACACACTCTGCATACACATCTGTAGACACACAAACACACTCTGCATACACATCTGTAGACACACAAACACACTCTGCATACACATCTGTAGACACACAAACACACTCTGCATACACATCTGTAGACACACAAACACACTCTATTCATACACATCTGTAGACACACAAACACACTCTTCATACACATCTGTAGACACACAAACACACTCTGCATACACATCTGTAGACACACAAACACACTCTATTCATACACATCTGTAGACACACAAACACACTCTGCATACACATCTGTAGACACACAAACACACTCTGCATACACATCTGTAGACACACAAACACACTCTGCATACACATCTGTAGACACACAAACACACTCTTCATACACATCTGTAGACACACAAACACACTCTGCATACACATCTGTAGACACACAAACACACTCTTCATACACATCTGTAGACACACAAACACACACTCTTCATACACATCTGTAGACACACAAACACACTCTTCATACACATTTGTAGACACACAAACACACTCTTCATACACATCTGTAGACACACAAACACACTATTCATACACATCTGTAGACACACAAACACACTCTATTCATACACATCTGTAGACACACAAAAGCATTCTATTCATACACATCTGTAGACACACAAACACACTATTCATACACATCTGTAGACACACAAAAACATTCTATTCATACACATCTGTAGACACACAAAAACACTCTATTCATACACATCTGTAGACACACAAAAACACTATTCATACACATCTGTAGACACACAAACACACTCTATTCATACACATCTGTAGACACACAAACACACTATTCATACACATCTGTAGACACACAAACACACTATTCATACACATCTGTAGACACACAAAAACACTCTATTCATACACATCTGTAGACACACAAAAACATTCTATTCATACACATCTGTAGACACACAAAAACACTCTTCATACACATCTGTAGACACACAAACACACTCTATTCATACACATCTGTAGACACACAAAAGCATTCTATTCATACACATCTGTAGACACACAAAAACATTCTATTCATACACATCTGTAGACACACAAAAACACTCTTCATACATATCTGTAGACACACAAAAGCATTCTATTCATACACATCTGTAGACACACAAAAACATTCTATTCATACACATCTGTAGACACACAAAAACACTCTTCATACACATCTGTAGACACACAAACACACTCTTCATACACATCTGTAGACACACAAACACACTCTTCATACACATCTGTAGACACACAAACACACTCTTCATACACATCTGTAGACACACAAACACACTCTTCATACACATCTGTAGACACACAAACACACTCTTCATACACATCTGTAGACACACAAACACACTCGTCATACACATCTGTAGACACACAAACACTCTATTCATACACATCTGTAGACACACAAAAACACTATTCATACACATCTGTAGACACACAAACACACTCTATTCATACACATCTGTAGACACACAAACACACTCTATTCATACACTTCTGTAGACACACAAAAACACTCTATTCATACACATCTGTAGACACACAAAAACACTATTCATACACATCTGTAGACACACAAACACACTCTATTCATACACATCTGTAGACACACAAACACACTCTATTCATACACATCTGTAGACACACAAACACACTCTATTCATACACTTCTGTAGACACACAAAAACACTCTATTCATACACATCTGTAGACACACAAAAACACTATTCATACACATCTGTAGACACACAAACACACTCTATTCATACACATCTGTAGACACACAAACACACTCTATTCATACACATCTGTAGACACACAAACACACTCTTCATACACATCTGTAGACACACAAACACACTCTTCATTGTGACGGAACACCAGAGACCGTCATAAACTGTGAGCTGCTCCTTCTCCCTGCGCTGAGGAAAGGTCTGTGTGCGTGTGCGTGTGCGTGTGCGTGTGCGTGTGCGTGTGCGTGTAGCGCCACTATACTCGCAGGTCCGCGCTTATGACCGCACGGCCCACATCTACAGACTCTCCCCCCGTAGCGCACAAGGGTGCACACTTGCTGCCCACACACGTCTCATCATCTCCCCCCGTACACACTACTCACCTGCTGCTTGTCTCGATCCACTGTTCAAACCGAGGCACTTCCTGGTCACACCATATACAGTGCCTTGCGAAAGTATTCGGCCCCCTTGAACCTTTCAACATTTTGCCACATTTCAGGCTTCAAACATAAAGATATAAAATTTAAATTTTTAACAAATAAAAAACTGAAAAGTGGGGCGTGCAATATTATTCGGCCCCTTGCGCTAATACTTTGTAGCGCCACCTTTTGCTGCAATTACAGCTGCAAGTCGCTTGGGGTATGTCTCTATCAGTTTTGCACATCGAGAGACTGGAATTCTTGCCCATTCTTCCTTGCAAAACAGCTGGAGCTCAGTGAGGTTGGATGGAGAGCGTTTGTGAACAGCAGTCTTCAGCTCTTTCCACAGATTCTGGATTGGATTCAGGTCTGGACTTTGACTTGGCCATTCTAACACCTGGATACGTCTATTTGTGAACCATTCCATTGTAGATTTGGCTTTATGTTTTGGATCATTGTCCTGTTGGAAGATAAATCTCTGTCCCAGTCTCAGGTCTTTTGCAGACTCCAACAGGTTTTCTTCCAGAATGGTCCTGTATTTGGCTCCATCCATCTTCCCATCAATTTTAGCCATACAATACAATACAATACAATCCAATGTATTGTTGTATAGCCCTAGGTCACAACAGAAGTCATCTCAGAGGACTTAACAAAACCATTGAAATCACCAACACAGGTCAGAGAATCAACAGTTAAAACACATGAAGAATATAAAGCACACACAGAAGAAAATGTCCATACATGTTGTAGAATGCTAAAGTGTCCTGATCATCACCAATCCTTTCTGTTGGACACTAACTGTCCAACAAGACCCTCCTGCATCGACAAGGAAAAACTCTTAAAAAACCCAGTGGGAAAAAGTGAGAAACCTTGGAGGAGAACTAGGGAAACCCACAGGGAGGGAGACCCATATGAGAAAGGGATCCGCTCCTCCGGACGGACAGGCTAATGATCTAGGACCTAAGCTAGCTACAGAACGTGGACCAGTGGCCGCTGAACGTGGACAGGTCCGGTGCAGGACTGAAGCACTCCCAGGCGGGTCGGGCGGGGCAGTCCGCAGGTGTAGATGGAAGAGGCCAGGCTCAGAGATCCCGTCATCGTACCATGAAACAGACAATGGGACGACGGGTGAATAGCAATGAACAAACTACAGTCAGAATCCTAAAAGTGCTAAACAGATAAAGTAGGAAGGAGGAGAGGATAGTGCTCAAGTTACCATACTTCTCCAGCAGGGGGCGCCCTATGCAGCTTGACTGACAGTCTGAGGAGTTTAACCTTCTCCGAGTCTTACCTTCCTAGCCATATGCTAAACTAAAGAGGACTGTTTTAAACCTAGCCTTGAATAAAGAGATTCATGGATTGCACACCAGGTGTCCAAACCGATCCAAGCAAACCTAATTATATATTATATATCATATACATCATATATACCATACATACCATATATATCATATATAATACATAACATAACATACAGCATAATATATAACATAATATACAACATAACACAATACATTATTTTATAATATATAACATAACACAATAAGATAAGATAAACCTTTATTAGTCTCACAGTGGAGAAATTTCAGTGTCATCGTTGCACATTACAGCAGAGAAAGGAAATAAGACTCAGATTGCACACATCAAAGTCTATTATTTAAGATAATAGACAATAAATTTAAGATAAAATAAAATAAAATAAACTCTGGGCTATAATTGCACTTGGTTCGGAGTATTTACAGATGTCTATATTATACATTAGCAGCGGAGAATATGAGCAGAATAAACATCAGAAATAATATCAACAGGTAAAGTGACTTGAATGGGAGAATTATCAGATATGTAATACTGCAGTAGTACTATTAACAGTAAATATCAGATATGTAATACTGCAGTAGTACTGATAACAGTAAATATCAGATATGTAATAATACAGCAGTACTGATAACAGTAAATATCAGATATGTAATAATACAGTAGTACTGATAACAGTAAATATCAGATATGTAATAATACAGCAGTACTGATAACAGTAAATATCAGATATGTAATAATACAGCAGTACTGATAACAGTAAATATCAGATATGTAATAATACAGCAGTACTGATAACAGTAAATATCAGATATGTAATAATACAGCAGTACTGATAACAGTAAATATCAGATATGTAATAATACAGCAGTACTGATAACAGTAAATATCAGATATGTAATAATACAGCAGTACTGATAACAGTAAATATCAGATATGTAATAATACAGTAGTACTGATAACAGTAAATATCAGATATGTAGTACTGTAGCAGTACTGATAACAGTAAATATCAGATATGTAATACTGCAGTAGTACTGATAACAGTAAATATCAGATATGTAATACTGCAGTAGTACTGATAACAGTAAATATCAGATATGTAGTACTGTAGTAGTACTGATAACAGTAAATATCAGATATGTAGTACTGTAGTAGTACTGATAACAGGTAAAGTGACTAGTGACAAAGTTACTAGTGAATTATCAGTGACACTTGTGCAGACTCAGCAGTTTCTGTTACACATTCTCGTTGTACAGTCTGACAGCAGCAGGAAGGAAAGACCTGCGAAACCTCTCCTTCACACATCGAGGGTGAATTAGTCTGTCACTGAAGCTGCTCAATACACAACATAATACATATATTGTATAATATATAACATAATATACAACATAATACATATATATATATATATATATATATATATATAATATATACACCATATATTATATATTACCTAATTATATGCTAAATTAAAGTAGAGTGCTTTCTATTCATACACATCTGTAGACACTAGACACACAAAAGTATTCTATTCATACACATCTGTAGACACACAACAGTGTGTCATTCACTGACTCATTATATTGTGGCTGAAGTGTCTTGCCTAAGGACACAACCACAGTTTGACACTTCCATCACAGCACTAACCAGGCCCCGCCCTGCTTAGCTTCAGAGGTCTGACAGGATCTGGCTTTCACCTGCAGGTGGCGCCACCTCCGTGGATGGAACAGTACAGTTTGAGGTTCTATATTTATAGTCTGTATTTTTTCTTCTAGATTATTCTTTTGATATTTTTACATCGTCATAAATTAAGATGATTTCAGTAAAACAAATAATGATTGTTATTTAAAATGCAAATGTTCTCTCCAAATATACAGACTGATCCAAATATACAGACTGATCCAAATATACAGACTGATCCAAATATACAGACTGATCCAAATATACAGACTGATCCAAATCTACAGACTGATCCAAATATACAGACTGATCCAAATATACAGACTGATCCAAATATACAGACTGGATCCAAATATACAGACTGATCCAAATATACAGACTGATCCAAATATACAGACTGATCCAAATATACAGACTGATCCAAATATACAGACTGATCCAAATATACAGACTGATCCAAATATACAGACTGATCCAAATCTACAGACTGATCCAAATATACAGACTGATCCAAATATACAGACTGATCCAAATATACAGACTGATCCAAATATACAGACTGATCCAAATATACAGACTGATCCAAATATACAGACTGATCCAAATCTACAGACTGATCCAAATCTACAGACTGATCCAAATATACAGACTGATCCAAATATACAGACTGATCCAAATATACAGACTGATCCAAATATACAGACCTGTATATAACCTGTGTATGTTTCAAAAAAATCTACTCTGGTTCTAAAAATTAACGTATTGATTGAAAGTCACATGACCCTGACCCTGTGTAAATGCTCTGTCCAGGCCTGTCACATGACCCTGTGTAAATGCTGTGTGCAGACCTGTCACATGACCCTGACCCTGTGTAAATGCTGTGTCCAGGCCTGTCACATGACCCTGACCCTGTATAAATGCTGTGTCCAGGCCTGTCACATGACCCTGTGTAAATGCTGTGTGCAGACCTGTCACATGACCCTGTGTAAATGCTGTGTGCAGACCTGTCACATGACCCTGTGTAAATGCTGTGTGCAGGCCTGTCACATGACCCTGACCCTGTGTAAATGCTGTGTGCAGGCCTGTCACATGACCCTGTGTAAATGCTGTGTGCAGGCCTGTCACATGACCCTGACCCTGTATAAATGCTGTGTCCAGGCCTGTCACATGACCCTGTATAAATGCTGTGTCCAGGCCTGTCACATGACCCTGTGTAAATGCTGTGTCCAGGCCTGTCACATGACCCTGTATAAATGCTCTGTCCAGGCCTGTCACATGACCCTGTATAAATGCTGTGTCCAGGCCTGTCACATGACCCTGTATAAATGCTCTGTCCAGGCCTGTCACATGACCCTGTATAAATGCTGTGTCCAGGCCTGTCACATGACCCTGTATAAATGCTCTGTCCAGGCCTGTCACATGACCCTGTATAAATGCTGTGTCCAGGCCTGTCACATGACCCTGTATAAATGCTGTGTCCAGGCCTGTCACATGACCCTGTATAAATGCTGTGTCCAGGCCTGTCACATGACCCTGACCCTGTATAAATGCTCTGTCCAGGCCTGTCACATGACCCTGTATAAATGCTGTGTCCAGGCCTGTCACATGACCCTGACCCTGTATAAATGCTGTGTCCAGGCCTGTCAGCTGTTCATAAACGTGGCCATCGACGCCCCAGCCATAGACTACCATGTGTCGCTGGCCCAGAATGCACTGCAGGTGTGTTTGGCTCATTCAGAGCTCCAGAACGAACTCTTCTGTCAACTCATCAAACAGACGAGGAGGAGGGCCCAGGGGCAGCCGGGACCACTGCAGGTGCTCACTCTCACCACTGGGGGGAGCCACAGGGCACTGTTACTGTAGTATACGCTCCTGGGTAGGGCTCATAACAGTATTAAATCTTTGGTGTGTAACTTTCTCTCATAAATAAGACTTTTTATATGTCCCAAGATAATTACAATTGTAAAAGTAGGGACCCCAGCTTTAAACTCTTCTGACAGGCTTTTTTTTGTATCTTAATGAGGGAAGAAAGACAGAAAGACCAGCCCTCTCTTTAGTTCAAATGTATCCTGCCTCAGACTATAACAGATGCAATAGTCTGAAATGCCTCTTTCACTCTGTGTGAGTGTTGCCAAGAAAACAAAATGGATGGCTGCAAGCTTTTTGTGTGGTTTCTTTTGGCCCCTACAAGACATTAACCACAGAGCTGCTTTACTTTGAACCACCAGAGGGCGCAATAACACTAGTACTCCAGCGTCTTCATTGTTAAAGAAAAACTATAACTTCACAAGCACAATAACACTCTTTGAATTAAGATAAGATAAGATGTACTTTCTTAATCTCACACAGAAGAAATGTACATGTCACATTGGCAAGGATAGGAACACTCAAGAATTGTGCAAAAAGTAAGAAATGTGCAACATGTTAATGCAGGATATATTATGTACAATACAATACAATACAATGTATTCTTGTATAGCCCTAGGTCACAACAGAAGTCATCTCAGAGACTTAACAAAACCATTGAAATCACCAACACAGGTCAGAGAATCAACAGTTAAAACTAGGGATGTGCCGAATCCAGGTTTTTGGGGTTTGGCCGAATACCGAATCCACTGGTTAAGATTCTGCCGAATCCGAACCCGAATACCGAATCCTATTCCATCCTCAGTCCATTAATGTTTCAAACGCAAATGTTTTAACAGCGGCGGTGTTGTGTACTGTTTAGGTCCTTACCACCACGAGACAAATGGGCATTGCAAATTAAACATGTAGCTCGACCAGAATCTATTATTATAACATTTATAATAATCCCGTTTATCATTAAACACAAATACATTCAGTTCACAGCAGTGTTTAACTTCAGAGATAAAGTACATATATTACTGTGCATGTCTTGTAGAAATAAGAGCTAAAGCACCGTACATGCATAAATAGCTTCCACTGGTTCAGGTCAAACATTACATATATGGACATTTGAGAAATATGCCAAACTCGTAGAGACAAGTTGAGAGAAGCTAATGCTAAGAGGCTAGTTGCCTAAACATGGACTCACCAACTCTGCTTCTACAGTCATACGCAGCTCAGATGACAAGTACCTGGCACTGGTAATCGCCTCCATAAAGTTGGTGAATAGGCAGTTAGTTTATGATCCATCAGAACCGCATTAGATTCAGATTCAGATTCATTTATTTGCCATTTGCAGTAAAACCACATTGGAAAAACTGTGCAAGACTACCCCAGTGTGCACCAGACGACACACACCAGAGCTCTTGCCACGGCGCCATCTTTTCGGCGCCATGCGACAAACAGTAGAATAAACAGCAGAGAGCAATAACATACATATTTCAAACAAACATGGGAGAGACACAGTACATGTGGAAAACATGCAGATCTTTTTGAAGGGAAGTCCTCACTCTGGCCCGCCTCGTCCAATACAGCGCGTCAGAGGGGAGTGTGGGTGGGGGAGGTGGAGGGGAAGACCACCATAGACTGAAGAGAGAGGGACGCAGACATGTAGAAGGGGGGGGGACTGTAACTGGTTACAGGTGAAAACAAGAATCATAACATCCCCTCTCACCGGCGTATAACTAGAGCTAATTGGACCGCGGGGATCACATGACCAGGAAGAGACCTCAGCGCACCCAAAGAGGAACAGAGAGCAAGAGGATATAAACCTCCGCTAAAGTGCATGTTTATTTACACTTCCGAACGAATCTGATTTCCGTGATGAATCCAACAGCCACAGCGCGCATAGTGTAAATGCAGGGTTCGGGTTCGGTGGGGAAAAATTCTAAGGTTTGGCCAGAAACCGAACCCCATCAAAAAAGCCAATATTCGGCCAAATCCGAACCCGAATCCTGGATTCGGTAAATCCCTAGTTAAAACACATGAAGAATATAAAGCACACACAGAAGAAAATGTCCATACATGTTGTAGAATGCTAAAGTGTCCTGATCATCACCAATCCTTTCTGTTGGACACTAACTGTCCAACAAGACCCTCCTGCATCCACAAGGAACAACTCTTAAAAAACCCAGTGGGAAAAAGTGAGAAACCTTGGGGAGAACTAGGGAAACCCACAGGGAGGGAGACCCATATGAGAAAGGGATCCGCTCCTCCGGACGGACAGACTAATGATCTAGGACCTAAGCTAGCTACAGAACGTGGACCAGTGGACGCTGAACGTGGACAGGTCCGGTGCAGGACCGAAGCACTCCCAGGCGGGTCGGGCGGGGCAGTCCGCAGGTGTAGATGGAAGAGGCCAGGCTCAGAGATCCCGTCATCGTACCATGAAACAGACAATGGGACAACGGGTGAATAGCAATGAACAAACTACAGTCAAAATCCTAAAAATGCTAAACAGACAATAGGTCTGGCATGTGCCTCCTGTACTGGCCCCACTCCCAAAAATAACAATTGTAAACCGCTTTGAGACTCCGATGTGCAGTGAAAAGGCGGTATATAAATTACTTACTTACTTACTTACTTACTTAATGCTAAACAGATGAAGTAGGAAGGAGGAGAGGATAGTGCTCAAGTTACCAGACTTCTCCAGCAGGGGGCTCCCTATGCAGCTTGACTGACAGTCTGAGGAGTTTAGCCTTCCCTGAGTCTTACCTTCCTAGCCATATGCTAAACTAAAGAGGACTGTTTTAAACCTAGCCTTGAATAAAGAGAGCGTATCTGAAAGGAGGCGAGACAGCAGCAGCCACGGCTAGGCTAGCCCAGGCTACAGCACCAAGGAACCGGCTCACTACAGACCAGTCGCACTGACCTCCCACCTGATGAAGACCATGGAGCACTGACCTCCTGATGAAGACCATGGAGCACTGACCTCCTCCTGATGAAGACCATGGAGCACTGACCTCCCTCCTGATGAAGACCATGGAGCACTGACCTCCTCCTGATGAAGACCATGGAGCACTGACCTCCTGATGAAGACCATGGAGCACTGACCTCCCACCTGATGAAGACCATGGAGCACTGACCTCCCACCTGATGAAGACCATGGAGCACTGACCTCCCACCTGATGAAGACCATGGAGCACTGACCTCCCTCCTGATGAAGACCATGGAGCACTGACCTCCACCTGATGAAGACCATGGAGCACTGACCTCCCTCCTGATGAAGACCATGGAGCACTGACCTCCCTCCTGATGAAGACCATGGAGCACTGACCTCCCACCTGATGAAGACCATGGAGCACTGACCTCCACCTGATGAAGACCATGGAGCACTGACCTCCCACCTGATGAAGACCATGGAGCACTGACCTCCCACCTGATGAAGACCATGGAGCACTGACCTCCCTCCTGATGAAGACCATGGAGCACTGACCTCCCACCTGATGAAGACCATGGAGCACTGACCTCCCACCTGATGAAGACCATGGAGCACTGACCTCCCTCCTGATGAAGACCATGGAGCACTGACCTCCCACCTGATGAAGACCATGGAGCAGGAGCACTGACCTCCCACCTGATGAAGACCATGGAGCACTGACCTCCTGATGAAGACCATGGAGCACTGACCTCCCACCTGATGAAGACCATGGAGCACTGACCTCCCACCTGATGAAGACTATGGAGCGGCTCATCCTCACCCATCTCCGCTCCGTGGTCAGCCCCACCCTGGACCCGCTGCAGTTCGCCTACAGACCCAACATCGGAGTAGAGGACGCCGTCATCTACTTCCTGCAGCGGACGCTCTCCCACCTGGAGCCCGCCGGGAGCGCTGTGAGGGTCATGTTTTTCGACTTCTCCAGCGCTTTCAATACCATCAGGCCGGCACTGCTGCGGGGGAAGATGGAGGACGCGGGAGTGGACAGTAGCCTCACTGCATGGACCATCAACTACCTCACTGCATGGACCATCAACTACCTCACTGCATGGACCATCAACTACCTCACTGCATGGACCATCAACTACCTCACTGCATGGACCATCAACTACCTCACTGCATGGACCATCAACTACCTCACTGCATGGACCATCAACTACCTCACTGCATGGACCATCAACTACCTCTCAGAGCGACCACAGTACGTGCGGCTGCGCAGCTGTGAGTCTGAGGTGGTCGTCTGCAGCACTGGGGCCCCTCAGGGCACTGTCCTTTCACCGTTTCTCTTCACCATCTACACCTCAGACTTCACACACGACACACACAGCTGTCACCTGCAGAAGTTCTCCGACGACTCCGCCATCGTGGGCTGTGTGTCTGAGGGGAACCAACTGGAATATCGGTAGGTTATCAAGGACTTTGTCGACTGGTGTGAGCGCAACCACTTGTGCTTGAACACCAGTAAGACCAAGGAGATGATCATCGACTTCAGGAGAAAACCACTTTCCCACACGCTGCTGAACATCCAGGGGGAGGACATTGAGCTGGTGGACAGCTTCAAGTACCTGGGTGTTCACATTAACAATAACCTCCCACCCACTGCACAGGACTGTAGAGGAGCTGAGGAGCTCCTTCAGTGGAAGACTGAGGCACCCTCAGTGTAGGAAGGAGCGCTACCGCAGGGCCTTTATCCCCACCGCTGTCAGACTGTACAATAAGTCACTTTAAAGGATCACTGTGTGAAAACCTGCACTACTATTGACACTGTTTCCAATTGACACTTGTCACTTTTATTGTACATAATTATTGTCACTTTATTGTACATATATCCTGCATGTAACATGTTTGCACATTTCCTCCTTTTGCACAATCTGAGTGTCTCTATCCATGACAAATGTGACATGTACATTTCTCCTCTGTGAGATAAATAAAGCACATCTTATAAGGCACGGTGGCTGAGTGGATAGCACTCTCGCCTCTCAGCAAGAAGGTCCTGGGTTCGAATCCCGGCCGGACCAGGGCCTTTCTGAGTGGAGTTTGCATGTTCTCCCCGTGTCTGCGTAGGTTTCCTCCGGGTACTCCGGTTTCCCCTACCACTAAAAATATGTACAATAGGTCTGGCATGCGCCTCCTGTTCGGCGACCCCGCTCCCATCTCTGTGTGGAGTGAGAGACAAATGCCCAAAAAAATAACAATTGTAAACCGCTTTGTGACTCTGGTCTGTGAAAGGCGGTATATAAATAAAGCTTACTTACTTACTTATCTTAATGGATTGCACACCAGGTGTGCAAACCGATCCAGGCAAACCTAATTATATTATATTATATTAATATATATATATATATATATATATATATATATATTAATATATAATATATAATATATAACATAACATATGTGTGTATGGTGTATATATAATATATACACCATATATTATAATATGTTATATTATTATATTATATATTTCCTAATTATATGCTGAATTAAATTAAAGTGCTTTAAGCCTGGCCTTGAATGTGGAGACCGTATCTGCTTCCTTAACATAAATGGGAAGCTAATTCCACAGTAAAGTAAGTAAGTAAGCTTTATTTATATACCGCCTTTCACAGACCAGAGTCACAAAGCAGTTTACAATTGTTATTTTTGGGCACTTGTCCTCTCACTCCACACAGAGACAGGAGTGGGGTCGCCGAACAGGAGGCACATGCAATAGGTCTGCTATTGTACATATTTTTAGTGGTAGGGGAAACCGGAGTACCCGGAGGAAACCTACGCAGACACGGGGAGAACATGCAAACTCCACTCAGAAAGGCCCTGGTCCGACCGGGATTCGAACCCAGGACCTTCTTGCTGAGAGGCGAGAGTGCTATCCACTCAGCCACCGTGCCGCCCACGGAGCTTGGAGCTGCCAACAGTGATTTTTGAGACCTTAGGGACCACCAGACGTCTGGCGTTTTGTGAGCGCAACGCTCGACCTGGTTGATACGACACTAACGTGTCTTGGAGATAAGAAGGAGCCAAGCCATTTATGGCTTTATATGTTAAGAGAAGGATTTTAAACTTTATTCTGTACTCCACAGGAGCCAGTGGAGTGATTTTAACACCGGAGTTATGTGCTCCCTCCTTTTGGTACCTGTTAAGATCCTAGCTGCTGTATTCTGAACGAGCTGGAAGCTCTTCAAAGAGGCTTTAGGGCACGCTGCCAGTAAAGCGTTACAGTAGTCGAGCCTTGAGGTGACAAACGCGTGAATGAGTTTTTCCGCGTCACTTTTAGGAAGGAAATTCCTAATTTTAGCGATGTTCCGTAAGTGGAAGTACGCCGTTTTAGTTGCTTGGTTTATATAAGCCTTGAAGGAGAGTTCTTGGTCAAAAATGACTCCAAGATTCCTCACAGTGTTACTGGGTATAATACTGACATTATCAGAGTAATTATCTGGTTAGTGAGGGAGTCACGCAGGCGCTTCGGACCGAGTAGGATCACTTCTGTCTTCTCCGGGTTGAGAAGTAGGAAGTTAAGAGTCATCCACATTTTAAGGTCCTTTATGCAGCACTGAGCTTTTCCAGCTGATCTGTCTGATTTGGCTTCATCGACAGATAAAGTAAGTAAGTAAGTAGTAAGTAAGTAATTTATTTATATACCGCCTTTTCACTGCACATCGGAGTCTCAAAGCGGTTTTACAATTGTTATTTTTGGGAGTGGGGGTGCCAGTACAGGAGGCACATGTCAGACCTATTGTACATATTTTTAGTGGTAGGGGAAACCGGAGAACCCGGAGGAAACCTACGCAGACACGGGGAGAACATGCAAACTCCACTCAGAAAGGCCCTGGTCCAACCGGGATTTGAACCCAGGACCTTCTTGCTGAGAGGCGAGAGTGCTATCCACTCAGCCACCGTGCCGCCCGATGTGTGTCGGGCGGCAGTGGAAGTGGAAGCTGTGTGTCCTCTGCAGCAGTGGAAATTAATTCCATGCTTTTTAATAATGTTTCCTAACGGCAGCATGTAGAGAGTGAAAAGAATCGGTCCGAGTACCGAACCCTGCGGCACACCGAATTCTACTCCAGAATAAGGTGACGAGTTCTGATTTACGTTGACGAAGTGATACCGATCTGATAAATAGGATTTAAACCAGCCAAGGGCTGTTCCTCTAAGACCTATATCACATTCTAGCCTCTGCAGTAGAATGCTGTGGTCTATTGTGTCAAATGCAGCACTAAGGTCCAGTAGGACCAGCACTGACACTTGTCCATTATCGGCAGCTAGTAGTAAGTCATTTGTGACTTTGACTAGTGCCGTTTCAGTCTATGATAAGCTCTGAATCCTGATTGAAAGACTTCAAACATATTATTTTCCTGCAGGTGGCAGCGAAGCTGCTCAGCTATAAGTTTTTCCAGGATTTTAGATATAAAAGTGAGGTTCGAGATCGGTCTGTAGTTTGTAAGTATTTCTGGGTCCAGGTTTGTTTTCTTCAGAAGGGGTTTGATTACCGCGGTTTTAAAAGCTTGTGGGACATAGCCACATTGTATGGATGCGTTTATTATATTTACGATAGGCTCAATTATCAAAGGAAGTATGTCTTTGAAGAGCCATGTCGGGACTGCGTCTAACATGCAAGTTGAGGCTTTTGAGGATGTGACCACAGAGATCACCTCTGCTTGGCTCACAGCCATGAATTTATCGAGGCCCACTGAAGAGTCTAAGTGGGAAGTCACGTATGCCGCTTCAGCCTGTCCACCACTAACAGCAGGAGCAACCTCCTCCAGTTTGTCACGGATGGATGTCATTTTATTATTAAAGAAGTGGAGGAGGAGCAGTGTATGTTGTGGACAGAGTGAGGAGGAGGAGGAGGAGGAGCAGTGTATGTTGTGAACAGAGTGTGTGGAGGAGGAGGAGGAGGAGCAGTGTATGTTGTGGTCAGAGTGTGTGGAGGAGGAGGAGGAGGAGCAGTGTATGTTGTGGACAGAGTGTGTAGAGGAGGAGGAGGAGGAGCAGTGTATGTTGTGGACAGAGTGTGTGGAGGAGGAGGAGGAGGAGCAGTGTATGTTGTGGACAGAGTGTGTGGAGGAGGAGGAGGAGGAGCAGTGTATGTTGTGGTCAGAGTGAGGAGGAGGAGGAGGAGGAGCAGTGTAAGTTGTGAACAGAGTGAGGAGGAGGAGGAGGAGGAGCAGTGTATGTTGTGGACAGAGTGTGTGGAGGAGGAGGAGGAGGAGTGTATGTTGTGGTCAGAGTGAGGAGGAGGAGGAGGAGGAGCAGTGTATGTTGTGGTCAGAGTGAGGAGGAGGAGGAGCAGTGTATGTTGTGGTCAGAGTGAGGAGGAGGAGGAGGAGGAGCAGTGTATGTTGTGGACAGAGTGAGGAGGAGGAGGAGGAGGAGCAGTGTATGTTGTGAACAGAGTGTGTGGAGGAGGAGGAGGAGGAGCAGTGTATGTTGTGGTCAGAGTGTGTGGAGGAGGAGGAGGAGGAGCAGTGTATGTTGTGGACAGAGTGTGTGGAGGAGGAGGAGGAGGAGCAGTGTATGTTGTGGTCAGAGTGAGGAGGAGGAGGAGGAGCAGTGTGTGTTGTGGTCAGAGTGTGTGGAGGAGGAGGAGGAGGAGCAGTGTGTGTTGTGGTCAGAGTGTGTGGAGGAGGAGGAGGAGGAGCAGTGTATGTTGTGGACAGAGTGTGTGGAGGAGGAGGAGGAGGAGCAGTGTATGTTGTGGACAGAGTGAGGAGGAGGAGGAGGAGGAGCAGTGTGTGTTGTGGTCAGAGTGAGGAGGAGGAGGAGGAGGAGCAGTGTGTGTTGTGGACAGTGTGTGTGGAGGAGGAGGAGGAGGAGCAGTGTGTGTTGTGGACAGAGTGTGTGGAGGAGGAGGAGGAGGAGCAGTGTGTGTTGTGGTCAGAGTGTGTGGAGGAGGAGGAGGAGGAGGAGGAGGAGCAGTGTGTGTTGTGGTCAGAGTGTGTGGAGGAGGAGGAGGAGGAGGAGGAGGAGGAGCAGTGTGTGTTGTGGTCAGAGTGTGTGGAGGAGGAGGAGGAGGAGCAGTGTATGTTGTGGACAGAGTGTGTGGAGGAGGAGGAGGAGGAGCAGTGTATGTTGTGGTCAGAGTGAGGAGGAGGAGGAGGAGGAGCAGTGTAAGTTGTGAACAGAGTGAGGAGGAGGAGGAGGAGGAGCAGTGTATGTTTGTGGACAGAGTGTGTGGAGGAGGAGGAGGAGGAGTGTATGTTGTGGTCAGAGTGAGGAGGAGGAGGAGGAGGAGGAGCAGTGTATGTTGTGGTCAGAGTGAGGAGGAGGAGGAGGAGGAGCAGTGTATGTTGTGGTCAGAGTGAGGAGGAGGAGGAGGAGGAGCAGTGTATGTTGTGGTCAGAGTGAGGAGGAGGAGGAGGAGCAGTGTATGTTGTGGACAGAGTGTGTGGAGGAGGAGGAGGAGGAGCAGTGTATGTTGTGGACAGAGTGTGTGGAGGAGGAGGAGGAGGAGGAGGAGGAGCAGTGTGTGTTGTGGTCAGAGTGTGTGGAGGAGGAGGAGGAGGAGGAGCAGTGTGTGTTGTGGACAGAGTGTGTGGAGGAGGAGGAGGAGGAGCAGTGTATGTTGTGGACAGAGTGTGTGGAGGAGGAGGAGGAGGAGCAGTGTATATTGTGGACAGAGTGTGTGGAGGAGGAGGAGGAGGAGCAGTGTGTGTTGTGGACAGTGTGTGGAGGAGGAGGAGGAGGAGCAGTGTATGTTGTGGTCAGAGTGAGGAGGAGGAGGAGGAGGAGTGTGTGTTGTGGACAGAGTGAGGAGGAGGAGGAGGAGGAGCAGTGTGTGTTGTGGTCAGAGTGTGTGGAGGAGGAGGAGGAGGAGGAGCAGTGTGTGTTGTGGTCAGAGTGTGTGGAGGAGGAGGAGGAGGAGGAGGAGGAGGAGCAGTGTGTGTTGTGGTCAGTGTGTGTGGAGGAGGAGGAGTAGGAGGAGCAGTGTGTGTTGTGGTCAGAGTGTGTGGAGGAGGAGGAGGAGGAGCAGTGTATGTTGTGGACAGAGTGTGTGGAGGAGGAGGAGGAGGAGCAGTGTGTGTTGTGGTCAGTGTGTGTGGAGGAGGAGGAGGAGGAGGAGGAGGAGCAGTGTGTGTTGTGGTCAGAGTGAGGAGGAGGAGGAGGAGGAGCAGTGTATGTTGTGGACAGAGTGTGTGGAGGAGGAGGAGGAGCAGTGTATGTTGTGGTCAGAGTGTGTGGAGGAGGAGGAGGAGGAGCAGTGTATGTTGTGGACAGAGTGTGTGGAGGAGGAGGAGGAGGAGCAGTGTATGTTGTGGTCAGAGTGAGGAGGAGGAGGAGGAGGAGCAGTGTAAGTTGTGAACAGAGTGAGGAGGAGGAGGAGGAGGAGCAGTGTATGTTGTGGACAGAGTGTGTGGAGGAGGAGGAGGAGGAGTGTATGTTGTGGTCAGAGTGAGGAGGAGGAGGAGGAGGAGCAGTGTATGTTGTGGTCAGAGTGAGGAGGAGGAGGAGCAGTGTATGTTGTGGTCAGAGTGAGGAGGAGGAGGAGGAGGAGCAGTGTATGTTGTGGACAGAGTGAGGAGGAGGAGGAGGAGGAGGAGCAGTGTATGTTGTGAACAGAGTGTGTGGAGGAGGAGGAGGAGGAGGAGCAGTGTATGTTGTGGTCAGAGTGTGTGGAGGAGGAGGAGGAGGAGCAGTGTATGTTGTGGACAGAGTGTGTGGAGGAGGAGGAGGAGGAGCAGTGTATGTTGTGGACAGAGTGTGTGGAGGAGGAGGAGGAGGAGCAGTGTATGTTGTGGACAGAGTGTGTGGAGGAGGAGGAGGAGGAGCAGTGTATGTTGTGGACAGAGTGTGTGGAGGAGGAGGAGGAGCAGTGTATGTTGTGGTCAGAGTGTGTGGAGGAGGAGGAGGAGGAGCAGTGTATGTTGTGGACAGAGTGTGTGGAGGAGGAGCAGTGTATGTTGTGGTCAGAGTGTGTGGAGGAGGAGGAGGAGGAGCAGTGTGTGTTGTGGTCAGAGTGTGTGGAGGAGGAGGAGGAGGAGCAGTGTATGTTGTGGACAGAGTGTGTGGAGGAGGAGGAGGAGGAGCAGTGTATGTTGTGGACAGAGTGTGTGGAGGAGGAGGAGGAGGAGCAGTGTATGTTGTGGTCAGAGTGTGTGGAGGAGGAGGAGGAGGAGCAGTGTATGTTGTGGACAGAGTGTGTGGAGGAGGAGGAGGAGGAGCAGTGTATGTTGTGGTCAGAGTGAGGAGGAGGAGGAGGAGGAGCAGTGTATGTTGTGGTCAGAGTGAGGAGGAGGAGGAGCAGTGTATGTTGTGGTCAGAGTGAGGAGGAGGAGGAGGAGGAGCAGTGTATGTTGTGGACAGAGTGTGTGGAGGAGGAGGAGGAGGAGCAGTGTATGTTGTGGTCAGAGTGAGGAGGAGGAGGAGGAGGAGGAGCAGTGTAAGTTGTGAACAGAGTGGGAGGAGGAGGAGGAGGAGGAGCAGTGTATGTTGTGGACAGAGTGTGTGGAGGAGGAGGAGGAGGAGTGTATGTTGTGGTCAGAGTGAGGAGGAGGAGGAGGAGGAGCAGTGTATGTTGTGGTCAGAGTGAGGAGGAGGAGGAGCAGTGTATGTTGTGGTCAGAGTGAGGAGGAGGAGGAGGAGGAGCAGTGTATGTTGTGGACAGAGTGAGGAGGAGGAGGAGGAGGAGCAGTGTATGTTGTGAACAGAGTGTGTGGAGGAGGAGGAGGAGGAGCAGTGTATGTTGTGGTCAGAGTGTGTGGAGGAGGAGGAGGAGGAGCAGTGTATGTTGTGGACAGAGTGTGTAGAGGAGGAGGAGGAGGAGCAGTGTATGTTGTGGACAGAGTGTGTGGAGGAGGAGGAGGAGGAGCAGTGTATGTTGTGGACAGAGTGTGTGGAGGAGGAGGAGGAGGAGCAGTGTATGTTGTGGTCAGAGTGAGGAGGAGGAGGAGGAGGAGCAGTGTAAGTTGTGAACAGAGTGAGGAGGAGGAGGAGGAGGAGCAGTGTATGTTGTGGACAGAGTGTGTGGAGGAGGAGGAGGAGGAGTGTATGTTGTGGTCAGAGTGAGGAGGAGGAGGAGGAGGAGCAGTGTATGTTGTGGTCAGAGTGAGGAGGAGGAGGAGCAGTGTATGTTGTGGTCAGAGTGAGGAGGAGGAGGAGGAGGAGCAGTGTATGTTGTGGACAGAGTGAGGAGGAGGAGGAGGAGGAGCAGTGTATGTTGTGAACAGAGTGTGTGGAGGAGGAGGAGGAGGAGCAGTGTATGTTGTGGTCAGAGTGTGTGGAGGAGGAGGAGGAGGAGCAGTGTATGTTGTGGACAGAGTGTGTGGAGGAGGAGGAGGAGGAGCAGTGTATGTTGTGGTCAGAGTGAGGAGGAGGAGGAGGAGCAGTGTGTGTTGTGGTCAGAGTGTGTGGAGGAGGAGGAGGAGGAGCAGTGTGTGTTGTGGTCAGAGTGTGTGGAGGAGGAGGAGGAGGAGCAGTGTATGTTGTGGACAGAGTGTGTGGAGGAGGAGGAGGAGGAGCAGTGTATGTTGTGGTCAGAGTGTGTGGAGGAGGAGGAGGAGGAGCAGTGTATGTTGTGGACAGAGTGAGGAGGAGGAGGAGGAGGAGCAGTGTATGTTGTGGTCAGAGTGAGGAGGAGGAGGAGGAGGAGCAGTGTATGTTGTGGACAGAGTGTGTGGAGGAGGAGGAGGAGGAGCAGTGTATGTTGTGGACAGAGTGTGTGGAGGAGGAGGAGGAGGAGCAGTGTATGTTGTGGACAGAGTGTGTGGAGGAGGAGGAGGAGGAGCAGTGTATGTTGTGGTCAGAGTGAGGAGGAGGAGGAGGAGCAGTGTGTGTTGTGGTCAGAGTGTGTGGAGGAGGAGGAGGAGGAGCAGTGTATGTTGTGGACAGAGTGTGTGGAGGAGGAGGAGGAGGAGCAGTGTATGTTGTGGTCAGAGTGAGGAGGAGGAGGAGCAGTGTATGTTGTGGTCAGAGTGAGGAGGAGGAGGAGGAGGAGGAGCAGTGTATGTTGTGGTCAGAGTGTGTGGAGGAGGAGGAGGAGGAGCAGTGTATGTTGTGGTCAGAGTGAGGAGGAGGAGGAGGAGGAGCAGTGTATGTTGTGGTCAGAGTGAGGGAGGAGGAGGAGGAGGAGCAGTGTGTGTTGTGGTCAGAGTGAGGAGGAGGAGGAGGAGGGCAGTGTATGTTGTGGTCAGAGTGAGGAGGAGGAGGAGGAGGAGGAGCAGTGTATGTTGTGGTCAGAGTGAGGAGGAGGAGGAGGAGGAGCAGTGTATGTTGTGGTCAGAGTGAGGAGGAGGAGGAGGAGGAGGAGCAGTGTATGTTGTGGTCAGAGTGTGTGGAGGAGGAGGAGGAGGAGCAGTGTATGTTGTGGTCAGAGTGAGGAGGAGGAGGAGGAGGAGCAGTGTATGTTGTGGTCAGAGTGAGGAGGAGGAGGAGGAGGAGCAGTGTGTGTTGTGGTCAGAGTGAGGAGGAGGAGGAGGAGGAGCAGTGTATGTTGTGGTCAGAGTGAGGAGGAGGAGGAGCAGTGTATGTTGTGGTCAGAGTGAGGAGGAGGAGGAGGAGCAGTGTGTGTTGTGGTCAGAGTGTGTGGAGGAGGAGGAGGAGGAGCAGTGTGTGTTGTGGTCAGAGTGTGTGGAGGAGGAGGAGGAGGAGCAGTGTATGTTGTGGACAGAGTGTGTGGAGGAGGAGGAGGAGGAGCAGTGTATGTTGTGGTCAGAGTGTGTGGAGGAGGAGGAGGAGGAGCAGTGTATGTTGTGGACAGAGTGAGGAGGAGGAGGAGGAGGAGCAGTGTATGTTGTGGTCAGAGTGAGGAGGAGGAGGAGGAGGAGCAGTGTATGTTGTGGACAGAGTGTGTGGAGGAGGAGGAGGAGGAGCAGTGTATGTTGTGGACAGAGTGTGTGGAGGAGGAGGAGGAGGAGCAGTGTATGTTGTGGACAGAGTGTGTGGAGGAGGAGGAGGAGGAGCAGTGTATGTTGTGGTCAGAGTGAGGAGGAGGAGGAGGAGCAGTGTGTGTTGTGGTCAGAGTGTGTGGAGGAGGAGGAGGAGGAGCAGTGTATGTTGTGGACAGAGTGTGTGGAGGAGGAGGAGGAGGAGCAGTGTATGTTGTGGTCAGAGTGAGGAGGAGGAGGAGGAGGAGCAGTGTATGTTGTGGTCAGAGTGAGGAGGAGGAGGAGGAGGAGGAGCAGTGTATGTTGTGGTCAGAGTGTGTGGAGGAGGAGGAGGAGGAGCAGTGTATGTTGTGGTCAGAGTGAGGAGGAGGAGGAGGAGGAGCAGTGTATGTTGTGGTCAGAGTGAGGAGGAGGAGGAGGAGGAGCAGTGTGTGTTGTGGTCAGAGTGAGGAGGAGGAGGAGGAGGAGCAGTGTATGTTTGTCAGGTGAGGAGAGTGAGGAGGAGCAGTGTAGGAGGAGGGAGGAGCAGTGTATGTTGTGGTCAGAGTGAGGAGGAGGAGGAGGAGGAGCAGTGTATGTTGTGGACAGAGTGAGGAAGAGGAGGAGGGAGACAGTGTGTGTTGTGGTCAGAGTGAGGAGGAGGAGGAGGAGGAGGAGCAGTGTATGTTGTGGTCAGAGTGAGGAGGAGGAGGAGGAGGAGCAGTGTATGTTGTGGACAGAGTGTGTGGAGGAGGAGGAGGAGGAGCAGTGTGTGTTGTGGTCAGAGTGAGGAGGAGGAGGAGGAGGAGCAGTGTGTGTTGTGGACAGAGTGTGTGGAGGAGGAGGAGGAGGAGCAGTGTGTGTTGTGGTCAGAGTGAGGAGGAGGAGGAGGAGGAGCAGTGTATGTTGTGGTCAGAGTGTGTGGAGGAGGAGGAGGAGGAGCAGTGTATGTTGTGGTCAGAGTGAGGAGGAGGAGGAGGAGGAGGAGGAGGAGCAGTGTGTGTTGTGAACTAGGGATGTAAAAAACTATGAATTTTCATGACCGACCACCGAGCCTCATTAACCGGTTGAAACCGGTTTAACCGCGTAGTTTAAAATAGTCCACGTTCTTTGAAAT